GACTAAAATATAAAAGTTAGACATATGCTGTCGCTGACTTTTTTGTAGGCATTATTAAGCTCTACAACTTTTCTCTAGAACATAATCATATATCTCTCATCGTTAAGGCAGCGTTCGTAAGAAACGTTTTCGTTCGACCGTTTTTCTCCGACTTACTTTGCAGATCCGACTACCACGAAAAAGCCATTTAATTTTTCGGGTTAATATATAGCCTATTTTGAAAAACGGTTCAGTAGATCCAGAGATTACCCCCTACAACGTCACAAACTCACAAACTCACAAGATCACAAACTTTACCTCTTTATAATATTAGTATAGACTAGCGACTCACCCTCGCTTCGCTGGGGTTCGTCCCTAGCTTACTTCCCAATACAAACTTTCATCCCCACTTTCAACCCCTTAAGGGATTATTTCCGGGATAAAAAGTATGTCCTTTCCAAGGTCTCAAACTACGTTCTTACCAAATTGCATCTAAATTGGTTCAGTAGATCCAGAGATTACCCTACAACGTCACAAACTCACAATCTCACAAACTTTACATCTTTATAAAATTAGTATAGATAATATTTAACAGATTTACCTTTATGTTTTTCTTATTTACATAAAATTTCCTTGAATACTTTTATATTATTTCATAAATCTATACAAATATTAATGCTGTAACTGAGCCATTCATAAATGCACCAATGCATTCAATAAAACTTAACAAAAACATAATTAACAGTCAAATAAAATGTAAATTTCGTAATCAGATATATTCAGATTATATTATCAAAGCCAAGCTAAATCTGAAATATGTAAAATATTCAATTATATCGTGATTACTTACTATACGAATACTGCATAATTTCAACCGATTTTAAAAAGAAGCGGTATACTCAATTCTGGTTTTTTAATTATTTTTTTTATTAGCTTTACTTGCTTTTTTTTTAAATATACCCTTTGCCAATTAACCACACATACTATTTAATTACTTTAAAATCGATTTAATGTAATGATTTTGTCACCACTAAATAGATTTTGTTGCCATGATTAAAAATTAAAATTGAGATAAACTGACTGGTAAACATTACATATCATAAAATCCATCAGGTAAAAAAATCTTATAATATTTTTATCAATCAGCGTTCCAACCGCTGGTTTTCATTTAAAATATAGGTAGCAGTTCCAGAACAAACTACTCTAGTGAACTATGGTTGGCGGCAAACACCTAGAGACCTCCGTGACTCAAATACAAAACCCGAACGCATAATAGACACTGCACCATAGTAAAATGCTTTGAAGAGTAAATCTCCTTTTCTGACCTGAGAGCGTCTTTCAGTAATAGTTTGCGAAAAACAAGTTAAAAATTTCCATAAACTTTTTTCCTGAGACTTTAACTGTAAACATAGCATGCTTCAGAAAGATACTTGGGGTACTAGCTTTATTATCACGCTTTTATTAGCTTCACCTATATATTTTTTGGGACATATACTACGTACATAACTACACACACACACTAACAGAATACACAGCACCATCTAGTTCCATGGTAAGCTAGGAGGCTTGTGTTATGGATACCAGATAGTTGATTCACTACACATATATAACTTTAAATACATACATATTATAAATATGAACACCCACGAATGGAGTACAAGCATTCGTGCTCATCACATAAATGAATGCCCCCAGCGGAACTCGAATCCGCGACCGCTAGCACAACAAGTAGGGTCACTACAAATTGAGCCAAACGTGTCGTCATTATGTACGTAAGCCAATCTTGAAATTTGACCAATTTCTAAATGTCGTACCGATTTGATACTTTGATGATAAATGTATGATACCAATACGATAAGTTGATTTCATTGAGCTCTGGTGATGGAACCAGGGGATGAATAAACGAACTATGGTGGTTCAAAATAACGCTCAATATGCACGTATAGCGTGAATAAAAATTTATAGCAATTACCCATAGACAAGTGCTAATATGTCAAACAAAAATACACTACCCGCGGACACTTCGCCGGCGTGTTTTTTAAATGATACTCTTCAAATCTCACTTAAAACATTCCCTTACAAACTCTTCTATCGCTTTTTACTCTTAAAGTGGTTGAATTTCGAGAAATTCTAATTAAGCAGCTCGGACTAAGGAATAATATAACTTAATATGAAGCCAAATAATATTATATGTTTTGAAATAGTAATAAATGATAATTTGTATACTAAATGATAAGTTAAAAAATGTTAATAAATAAAAATAGAAAACGGATATTATTTATAATAAAGAAAAAAATAAAAGCTAATATCTATCTCTTTCAAGGGAATTAATGCTTAAATTTACAAAAGAATTTGTTATTATTTTTATTATTCATATTTCATTCATAGAAATCGTATAATTGTTTAACTAATACATATATAAATTATCCCTTATTCTTTAAAGAAAGTAAACGATCTATAAGTATCAAGAATCTATACATATAATAAAATTGTAACTAAGCCGAATCTGTACATTAAATATTTTTTGGAAAATCTCATTGAAATAAACATTATTATCGATACAGAGGCCGAATCTATAGTTTTTAGAATTTTTGTCTGTCTGTCTGTTACCGCATCACAGAAAAACCACTGGATGGATTTTGATGAAATTTGGTATGGTGATAGCTGGTTATCCGGGTCAACATATAGGATAGGACTTTTTACCGCGGGAAAATGTCTCATTTCTGAGAAATAAAACTGTAATATAAGAGTATACTAATATGTAAAACCTAAGAAACTGGTTTTTGGTCATCTGAACGCCGGCGGAGCCGCGGGTAATGCTAGTAGTAGCAAAAACAGCAAATCAAGCTACTATTTTTTACTTTAACATTTATTTAGACAGTATCCGTCTGTCTAATATATATAATATATATTCGTTACGTCTAATATATATAATTCTTTTCTATTTGAGGTTTTTCCCGAGCGATTAGGAATCAGGTCAAGAATTTTCCATAATGTAATATAAATAAAATAACACTTTTGAAGTAAATTAAAGCAGTAATTTCATATAACATAAAATATTATGAAACGCTTTCATTCAACGTAACGAGCTCAAAGACTCATTCATGTCAAATAAACATCATGCGTGGTCGAACAATTGTAAATGCTTGGTTTGCTTTAAATACATTCATATTGTGTATTAACAATACAATAATTTACACTACCGTCATAGAAATGTTCAATATACCTAATTTATAGAATATTTTTTTAATGAAGACCGAATATTTTTGGAAAGATCTCTTTCAGTTGGGATATGATAATATTTTGTTTCGTTTGCAAGTAGTTTCTATTAAAAAAACTTATGATTTATATAATAACTATCATTGCCCGCGTCTCCGCCCGCGTTCACATGACCAAAAACCAAATTGGTTTTACATATTAGTATACTCTTACATTGCAGTTTTTGTATTTTTTCTCAGAAATGAGATATTTTCCCAAAGTAAAAATATCCTATATGTTAACCTGGATAACCAGCTATCACCATACTAAATTTCATCAAAATCTCTCCAGTGGTTTTTTCCGTGATGCGGTAACAGACAGACAGACAGAAAAACAGCCTATTTTGCCTATTCATATTATGTTTTTTTATTATTGTATTATTGTTTTATTATGTTCTGTTAGAGTTTAAGTTTTGCTTTTTGTGTTTTTTTTTATTTTATAATTTGTTTTTTATTTTATTTTTTTGTAATTCTAACTTAGTCATTTTTATTGTTGTCATTTGTAGTGTTTTTGCAGTAACTTTTGTTAAATTTTTATTATATAGTTTTAATGTTTAAATTATTTATGTTTACTCTACCTGTGACATATTTATAGGTGGAAACTTTGCTGGTGTGTGGACTTTTTAGTTTTTTAATTAATTTTAAGAATTTTGTCACTGTTTGTTTCCCAAAAATTAATAAATAAATAAATAAATAAATAAATAAACAGACAGACAGACAAAAATTCTTAAAACTATAGTTTCAGCCTCTGTATCGATAATAAAGTTATTTCAATAAAATTTTCCAAAAAATATTCAATGTACAGATTCGGCTTAGTTACGATTTTATTATATGTATAGATATAACAATTATAATAATTCAGCCCTTTCAAAGTTCCATAGCTACGCCTGGCCTTTCTCTCTATGGGAGAGGGAATATGCCATAGTTCAATATATATTTTGCGCAAATTCCGATCCGCTAGTTTTAGATAGACACTAGACAGTCTATGGGCACATAGCAAGTGTTAAATTAAATCAAATCGCTACGAGATTTACTATTTTTATCGATTTCTTGCTTTGACCCACTCTAACTTTGCCATCTATATCTATATCCAAGCTTTGTTTATATTTATCTCTTCTAATATATAAAATTCTCGTGTCACAGTGTTTGTAACAAAACTCCTCCGAAATGGCTCGACCGATTCTTATGAAATTTTGTGTATGTATTTAGTAGGTCTGAGAATAAGACGTAAACAATTTTTTATACAAAAAAAAACAATTTTAGTTTTTGGACAAAAAATTTTTTTTTATACAATTGTATTAAAAAATATATACAAACCAAAATTTTCACTAGGGAAGAAATAAATGAGATAGTGTGTTTATTTGTTTGTCCATCTTCATGTCGAAACAGCGTGACTGGTGGTGGATTGGCATGATTTTTTGTGTGCAGATAGTTGGAGGGCTGGAGAGTGACATGGGCTACTTTTTACCGCAGGAGATTGTCTCATTCCCACGTGGAAACACGTTATGATACAACCTACAACAACTCACCATACCTATGTATGTATATAATATATAATCTATCTATTCCATATGGTTAGTGTGAGGTAGTAAGCAAAACGTACCTAGATACGAACCCGAGCGAAGCGAGAGTGAGCCGCTAGTTAGTTTATAAGGAGTAAGGATATACATATTATTTAAATAAAAGCTAAAAAACTTCATTTGATTATTATTTAAAAGACAATATGAAGACGAATCTTGCTAGTAACCATGCTTTCAAGTTTCAACAATACGCCATTAGTTCACTGATTTTGCAAGGCTTATCGCAGCACTCGCTGACGACTAAGCGTTTGTTTCGTGATGGAAGACTCATGCTTCTAGCCTTGTGAAGGGGTACCCACCAACCGCTTTCATTGCTGATGTCTTCGTCACTTTCTTTGTAGTATGGAGGGAGGAGTGCATCTGAAAGGTAATAAAAAAGTATTTATCTATATATATAATAAAATTCTAACTAAGCCAAATCTGTACATTAAATATTTTTGGGAAATCTAATTGAAATAAACATTATTATCAATACAGAGTCCGAATCTATAGTTTTTAGAATTTTTGTCTGTCTGTCTGTCTGTCTGTTACCGCATCACGAGAAAACCACTGGACAGATTTTGATGAAATTTGGTATGATGTTAGCTGCTTATCCGGGTCAACATATAAGCTTTTTACCGCGGGAAAATATCTCATTTCTGAGAAAAAATACAAAAACACAAAAACTGCATTGTAAGAGTATACTAATGTGTAAAACCTAAGAATTAGGTTTTTGGTCATCTGAACGCGGGCGGAGCCGCGGGCAATACTAGGTAATTTATATATTTTATAACATGTCTATTGCTCAGTCTATGCATATGTATTATAATAAAATCGGTTGTAAAAATAACATTGTTACTAACCAATAGGCAACCTCTCACCAAGGCTGTCTGGTAGAAATTGCTTTTAGCAAAAAACCGTTTTCGCATGCCTTATACCTATATAATATTCTTTCGGGCGTTCGAACGAATCGTTTGATGCAAAATTAGCGCTTTAATTATACAATCCGATATAAACATAATCACGTTACAGAATCGGGAACTAAATTGATTTGCTATCATTAAAATCATAATTTGTTATCATAAATACTTATATTACACTAGCATTGCCCGCGGCTCCAACCGCGTTCAGATGACCAAAAAGCAAATTTTTAGGTTTTACATATAAGTATACTCTTACATAGCAGTCTTTGTATTTTTTTTCAAAAATGAGATATTTTCCCGCGCTAAAAAGTATGCTATATGTTGACCCAGATAACCAGCTATCATTATACCAAATTTCATCAAAATCCCTGCAGTGGTTTTTCTGTCATGCGGTAAACAGACAGAGAAACAGACAGACAGACAAAAATTCTAAAAACTATAGAATCGGCCTCTGTATCCATAATTATGTTTATTTCAATAAGATTTTCCAAAAAATATCTAATGTACAGATTCGGCTTAGTTACAATTTTATTATATGTATAGACTAGCAGTAGCCGCGGCTTCCCCTGCGTTCAAACTACTAAAAACACAAACTCTTTCACACATCGACTGCAGCGTCGTCTACCGGGTCGAATTATGTTTTCAAACCATCCAAGAGCCCATTGAAATATACACACAAAATTTCAAAAGAGGAGTAAGATGACAAACACACGTACAGAAGAATTATATAATATATTAAGATAATAATCTGTTATTGTTAAAACCTAAAGTTAAACCGATTACCTACACGGTTTTGTAGGGCTATGTTGTGAACAAACCTATATAATTTCACTTTTAATAAATAGGTAAAAAATATAGAGGAACAAAACCGCTTATAAAAAACTAGTTTATAACATACTATACATAGTCCCAATTTCCGATCTCTTCTCATTCATAGGTCCTTCATAGCACAATAGCGCCAAGCTTCTGGCGAGAGCTCGTCCACAGTACACTTGTGGGGAGATGTCCTGGTACAGCACTGGCACATGACCGCCGATGTGGCCGCAGCATGCGGCTACCATAGCGAGCGAGACTAACGTGATGTGTTGGAAATTCATCTAGAATTATTTTTCAATCAAAATACCATTATAAATGTGAAAGTATATGTGTGTATGTTTGTTTGTTACTACTTTACGCTGAAAGGGCTGAAAACTGTCCAATATTTGGATGGAATTTAGTACATAAATAAACTATGACGATTGAAACTACAGTTAGTTACGAAAGCGATGCAAACGAGGTTAAGCCGCTAGCTTATTATTTAAATATTTTATTTAAAACTAAACACAACAACAAAAACACATCTATTCCTCGGGCACCGTACATCTTTCCGGGATAAAAAGCGTTATTCCAGACTATAATCTATCTCTATGCCAAATTTCATCCAGATCCGTTCAGCCGGTCTGGCGTAAAAGAGTAACAATCATCCATACATACTCACAAACTTTCACATATTTTATAATCACTATATATTATAAAACAGAGTCCTCCGCCGCGTCTGTCTGTCTGTTCGCAATAAACTCAAAAGCTACTGCACCAATTTTCATGCTGTTTTCACCAATGGATAGAGTGGTTCTCGAGGAAGGTTTAAGTATATAATTCGTTAAGTTTTTGTATAAATTGGCTAAAATATAACGATATTTGTTGGAGGTGTTGGAAAAAAATAGGCCATCTGGGAAGCTTTCAACGAAAATGCTGTCTAAACCCTTTGAGATATAACAAAATAATGTATGGTGAAATTGTGTATCTTATATAGGTCTACAGAAAAGTTCGCGATAGCATATATCTATAAGGATAACATACTATATCAATTTTAATATATGCATATTATAGTACAGAGAAGCCGAGAAATTCAAAGATTTGTATTTCATACTAAACGTTAAAATGTCGCTAACTCGCTAGTATTATATAAATACAATAACAAAAATATTTACTTTTTTGTATTACTTAGAGTTATGAAATGGTGATTTTTTTTGATTGTGATACAATAAAATTAAAAATCTTTAGAGTACTTCCAATTACTTTAAAAAAAATTTCAACGCTTTTTATTTGAATCGTGCTAAAAAACATATTTTTTTTCTATAGAAAAAAATTCATAGGAATTAGTGGGATAAAAACTAGAAAAGTCAGAAAAATATGATATTTTATGTTTTCGCATTATTTTGCGATACAGTATGAAAAATTGTAAAAGTTATCATTTACCATATTTTGAGGTTGAACTTTAACCTCTAATAACTTTTAAACGAGTCGACTAAGCAAAAAATCATATTAGACCTTTTTTGTAGATCGTTTAATTCCCTACAATTAAATATATGTTTTTAAATTTGATTGCACAATAATTCGTTTAAGCGCATTAAAAAGAGCGCAGAAAAATAAAAAATGTCCCATGTTATTTATATGGAAAATCAATAATCACGATAAGCCAGCTGCCTCTTAATATTAATAGCCCAAACTTTACCAGAATTTTTTTTTTCATCATCTTAGACGATATTTTCATGGTAACTAAAGAATTTTGCCTACCCTTCTATGTATAAATATAGTCTATCGATTTCATGATGTTCTCCTGACCGGTTTCGGCCACAGCGGCCAATCTCATTGAGACTAGCCAACTGCGCAGGAGATATTACAGTGCACAAGTGTACGCGCAGACACAAGTGCAATCTCTATTCCTGTCACTCTCATACTCCGGTGGGACGACTAACCGACACGACCAGTGAGAGTTAAGGTGCAGGACCGACGGCTTTACGTGCTCTCCGAGGCACTTGGGTGAAACACCGCCAACTTCCCAACTCCGGGCTGTTACTGAGGCTTACTATACAGAAAGACTCAATAACTAAACTTGGCCCGACCCGGGACTCGAACCATTTCATAATAACCGTTAAAATGCACCATAGCGAAACGAGGGTGAGCCGCTAGTTTTTAATAAATAAATATCTGTTTGCATACCTGATCCATTTTGAAAAAACAAAAGCAATTTTGGGAGCGTAAAAATATAACATGCCAAACTAATAATGACATCACCTATTAAATATATACATAAATATTCAGAAGAATATGTAGTCAATAATTTTACTTACTTTTCCTTTCGTAGTTTCGTATCAGAGTTTACAGGTCTGAGTGTGAGGATACATCTAAAGTATCCCTTTTTATACGCCCTCATGATCCTTATGGGTTATTAATATTCAAAAACATGTTTTGGTAAAGTGTAATTGCTTAATCAGAGGTAAATATTTTGAAGGATTAAATGACACTAGTTTTGTGACCTGGTTGTTAAAATATTTATTGTTATAATATTACCATTTCAATTTATTTCCATACCTAAATAGTAAAAAATACTTAAAAATATCTTGGGGCATTTTTTCTTATTTAAAAATTAGTGGTAAATGAGCTATATATATATACATCTGTTTAACGTAAATTAACCTACTTGCCATCCCTTGGGCCTTAATTACATGACATCTCTTTACCTCATATCTAGCATTCAATTTCGTATTGAAGAAATGGGGAATGTATAGCAGAGGAAAGAGTCTTAATGAGATAGAGCAGTGATACTATCACTCACCGAGTCACCAAGAATGAAGCACCAGTCCTGCTTCTGCTACTTTACGTCCATCTTCAGTTTGGATGTCGTTATTTGATTCATAGGTAGTTTTAATTACTAAATCCCAGGTCGAGCTATATCAGCTCAACGACACCTATGCAAAAAAAACATTTTTTTTTAAATGAACTGGGTATGTATAGATTGGTTTTCTTGTGAACACATGTCTATTTTTTTACAATTGTAAATTTAATTTAGTTGATCTAATCAGTGTAAGAAAGCTTTTGTGCAACGCACTAAACACATTTTCTCTTCAAACGGAGGAAAATCAAAGTTTTTTTTTATTAAAGTTTTAGCTACTGGCAGCCTATCAATAAAAATAGTAATGTGTTTTAGTTCTCATCTACGAGGTATGTATGTATATGTAGCTGAACATTCAGTATTTCTCTCAATGCCGCTCAATGTTCAACCGTTATTGCATGAAAAATAAGCAAATATAAGCTTTTTTTAAATATTAGTTAGGACCACAAACACTTATTCATAACTGGCATTGCCCGCGACTCCGCCCGCGTCCAGATGCCCAAAAATCAAATTCTTAGGTTTTACATATTAGTATATTCTTACGTTGCAGTTTTTGTGTTTTTTCAGAAATGAGATATTTTCCTGCGGTAAAATGTATCCTATATGTTGACCCGGATAACCAGCTATCACCATACCAAATTTCATCAAAATCCATCCAGTGGTTTTTCTGTAATGCGGTAACAAACAGACAGACAGACAAAAATTCTAAAAACTATAGATTCGGCCTCTGTATCGATAATAATGTCTATTTGAATAAGATTTTCCAAAAAATATTTAATGTACAGATTCGGCTTAGTTACAATTTTATTATATGTATAGATTAACTTTTATAAGTACCTACATATATATTACTAGCGTTTCGTCGCGGCTACACTCAGTTTATACGTAGGTATGTGTATATATAATATAATCGTATAACCGCATCACTCCGAAGGCTCTGTGATAGATAGCCTTTTTTTTTAACGTTGGGAAATGCATTTACGCACGAGGTGTGGGACTCACCGGCAAAGCCAGTACTACCCACTAAAACCCAACAAAGCCTTCCTCCGTCTTAATGGGGCGTCGCAGGATCGCTTACGCATTCAACTACGACGCCCCGACGGCAGGTCTGCCAAAGCAGACCACAACAACCACGGGGTTGCTCCAAGGTCCACTCTGCTATCAGAGAAGTACCAGGAGCAACCCGCATGGTACACCGCCTTCCGAAGAGGGCCACCTCCCACCGCCCACCGAAGTGGGCCACCTCCCTGTGCGTTTCTTGGCTTCGCGCCCGGTTGGGTTGCCGGGCACTACTGAGCCCCCCCACCACGACAAGGTGAACGCACTTTGGGGGGGGGGCGGTGGTTGTGATAGATAGCCTACCTCAATCTAAAAAAATAAATACAATCAAACATAGAATCTCCTTTTTAAAATTCATTAAAAATTGGAAAATATTACAAATTGGACCTCATTACAAATAAGAGCAAAAGCTTTTATAAATTTAAATTGACTTGGTTCCATTATTACGTAAAAAATATAGAAAAATCATAAGTACGTACATGTGTTTTACGCGTCTGGATAATTATCCAAAATTCAATTGAAATAAATATTCTTCTTTATTAGTCGGTTCGTTGAAAGCGAGTTTAAAATCAACAAATATTAAATTAAGGTTGTTCCACATTGTAAAACAATAATATTAATTTCTTTTTATGAGAACTCTTTCATTTTTTAATTTTACACAGTAAATTAAACTTAAAACTTAGCCAAAAAAAATGTGAATAGTTTTAAATATTATAGTGACATCGATAGCGTTGTTTTTCTTTTATTTTACTGGTTAAACGTTTGTAATAATCATCCAAAATATTATGTTTATCCTAGTGAAGTAACTATGAAACATACTTCCGGAAATAAGTTAAAAGTGCAGGATATCACTTTACACCTATAATCTCTCTGTTTCTTTAATTTTACAAATAGATTAAGCAAGCGCTGGATGTAGAGAGATTTCACAATGTTACGTTGTATGTTGCTAAGATATTTAAATTTTCTAAAATATTTCAGTTTTCTCTGGTAAAAATACAATCTTAACAAAAACTGTTACCTAAATCCAAACAATAAAATTCAACCACAGATCCTCCCCTTAATTATAGGTAGGCAAAGTAAAGTAGTCGTTGTAGGTAGGTATATCGAAAAAAGATTCAATTTAACAGTGAAATAACGCTATTGCTCTCAGGGATTTACGGCAATCTAAATCAAAGCTATCGGCATAAATTTAAAATCACGTATCGGTGTAAATTAAGTAAATTCATCAGTCCCCCGTTTATTTTATCGCAATTTCGCGTCGACAGGGCGCCGATTCTAATCTAAGGCGCACTTAAGCCGTCAAATAGGATGAAACGGCGCGTTACATTGAAACTGACATAGTCGACCAGAAAGTTGCATAGTAACACTTAATAAACTTCCGCTCCATCGAACAATAATTTCCTGTGACACGTTTGTTCAGTGAAAAGAAAGTGAGTAGTAAAATTATAATTAGAAGTGTATCTCAGTATAACTACAATAATTTTTTCAAAAACTTGTGTTCTTTACGGTAATGTTATGAGAAGTCTGCTTAAATATAGTACCTATATTATGTAGTACATATTAAAATGAAATTTATTAGTTTCTTTCTATTCTTCTTTTATTATTTTAAGAAGGTTTAATTAGGTATCTTCTTTTATTTTATGTCGGTGGTGTCAGTTTATAGCTTTCATGAATTAATGTGTCCTATTGTTCGATTTCCATTAATCCATTCCTTTATATTATTTATTATAGAATATATATAATTATTTATTATATATATTCTTTTATATTATATAATTCCATTTATTGTGCTTACTTTCACTTAAATTGCGAAAATAACATTTTTATAAAATTCTGTTAAATTTTCACACTACATTATGTATTATGTATTACCTATAAGCGTAAAATAATTGAATATAATATTTTTAAGTACCTATATAAATCTTGTTTTAATCATTTTTCTCTTTTGGAAAAGTCAGTTTCTGAACGATAATTCAAACGGTCTTGTGATAGTCGACTTGTCAATGTCAAATGAACGCGAGTTCTGTGATCTGTCACTACAAAGTACAAACTACAATCACATTGCAAATTCATCCCTATTTAAAATTACATTAGAATCTTTAATAGTAGAGCCTTATTCTTGTAAATGTAATGTTTTAATGTAGTGAAACGTGAATCGCAACTCGAAATGAGGACAAAAAATTTAAAAACTTAAACCACCAATGTAGGGGACACCGCTATGTTCTACTTATCTTAACTTTCTAAGTTTCTATGTTTTTCGTTCTTCTCCAACGAGTGCTTGTGTTTGCCGCGGAAATATTACAATGTTAAATATCTTGGACCTCGGTTTCCTTAGTTTAGCTTTTACTGTTGCATTTACTGGGTTCGTAATTAATCATTATGAAAAGCACGTACCGGCCTTTATTATCAAAGGATTTAAATACGGCAGTTTTGCATACCAAGGTTCCGGCGCTAATTATCTTCAAATAATCGAAGTACCAAAAGCTCTGTATCGTCATTTTTACGCTTTCTCTTCTGTATTTAGTGGAGTGACTTTATTGTATGCATTTTTTGTATACTGCTTCGAATTCAGTGTTCATAGATACATAGTTGTTATACTAAAATTGTTGTTGGAGCAAGATGAGCCATCAGGTATGACCTACATATTTAAAGTTATTAACTTATTTACCTTTCACAATCAATAAATAGGATCTCTAAAGTAGTAAATAGATAGATAAGCCAAATTTAAAAAAATCTAAAAATTGTTGGTGTAAAGTATATAATCCCATAAAGAAATAAAAAATATATGAACATAGTTAAGTTTTATTTTATTTGTAGTTTTATGCAGACATAATAAAATAGACATTAGTAACAATTATTAACAGAAAGTATTTTATTTCAGTTTCAGCACCAGCAGTCCTACTGGCTCTATCTCTCCTCACAATACAATGTATAAGGAGATGTTATGAGACTTATTACTTACAAGTCTTTGCTAAGTCTAGTAAAATGAACTTAAGCCACTATTTAGTTGGATTAGTTCATTATTTTGCTGTCATTGTTGCTGTTGTCGGACAAGCACCTTTGTTTTGCGGTATGAATAACACACCTTACTCTTCATATAACTTGATTCATGGCTTTTAGTAATGAAATATTTAATTAAATATATATTACAGGTATATGCACTATAGTGCATATATGTGTAATGTATAAATTTATATTTTATAATTTATTGTAATTTTATAAAATTAAATACATTTTGCATTACAATTTATATTTAAATAAAAAATATTGAACATAAGACATATTATGATAATTTTGATTTTAGATGTATTGGATGATAATTTTTATTTATTTAGTTTTTTAAATTAATTCTTGTTTTGCAATATCTATAATTTTATTAACCACTTATCAAAACCAATGAACTAAATTCAAATTTTCAAGGAGTTGGGTAGCTAAGTTTGAATTAGAAATTATCACAATTAAACAAGCTGCCATTAAAAACATATAAAAATTGGCAGTCACTTTGGAAGTAAAGTACATAATATATTATTTTTCATCATTTTTAATGTAAATAATTCATAAATTTTTATTGTCTTCACAGGACCTCACAACCAAGAAAAAGTAACTTGGAATGACACAAAAACCTTAATACTGTCTGTACCTTGCACAATAATCTTTCTACGGGCCTGGTATGAACAATATAAATCAAATATAATATTCGCTAATCTTAGAAAAGATAAGAAATCTGGGGAAGTTGTTACAGAAGAACATAAAATACCCCATGGAAGGCTTTTTGAGCACATCTCAAGTCCCCATAGACTGTGTGAAATAATTTTATACATTGTATTGGTTTTGTTGATACCGACAAGGACATTCTTTTGCATATTTTTATGGGTCATCGCCAATCAGGTTTGTCTAATATCAGAATATTAAATGTAATTTGATGACACGTTTGGCATTTGTCTGTGTCTAATTGCTATAAATGTTTATTTACGCTATATGTGCATATTAAGCGTTATTTTGAACCACCATACTTCGTTCATCCATCTCCTGGTTCCATCATCAGAGCTCAATGAAACCAACTTATTGTATTGGTATCAAACATAAATCATCAAAGTATCAAATCTATACGACATTTAGAATTATGGTAAATTTCAAGATTGGTTTACGTACATAATGACGACACGTTTGGCTGAGTTTGTTGTGCCAGCGGTCGCGGGTTCGAGTTCCGCTGGGGGCATTCATTTATGTGATGAGCAGGAATGTTTGTACTCCAGTCATGGGTGTTCATATTTATAATATGTATGTATTTAAAGTTATATGTAGTGTATCAACCATCTGGCATCCATAACACAAACATTATAGCTTAGGATGGATCTAAATGGTACCCTGTTAATGTCTCAACAAAAAAATTATGCACAGAAGTTATACTTCTTATGTGCTTCTTATGTTACGCAAGAGAACAAAAATATCTAAAGATGTCATCCCGTATGTCACAACTCTTTCTGTGGGTGTGCGCGCGCATAGTAAAAATTTTACTCTCATAATTTTTTTACAAACATGCCAAAAGAAGTATAACTTCAAAAAAAAAAATTAATGTCTTTTTTCTGACCAACTTTAAATGAGAAGCATTTACTCAGTTGGAGTGTATGTACTTACTGCAATATCTTAAATTGATAACCAATTTTCTTGATGCATATTTAATATATTATTGTATACTGTATAGGTACAACCATTCATATACTAAAGGTCCATGGAACAAAATTTCATAACTAATAATACAATAAAATTAATTTTGAAGTTGGTGTAGTTTTTTAGTTGACTTTTACATATATGTTTGTTTTATAATTTTAGGTACAAACAGCAATACACGCTCACGCTTGGTACAAGAAAACATTCAAGGACTATCCCAGTAACAGAACGGCTCTTATCCCAAAAGTACTGTAAAGAATAATTATAATATATTTATTATTTATTAAATATAGTACCTAATAAGAGACTGACGTTTTAAAAAATGACCTTTACGTGCGGAAGTAATAATTATTAATAATAAATATATATTTTTATAAATTATGATTATTATAAAAATATAAATATATAATATATTTTTTAATTATTAATAATAAATTTGACTCTCACATCCGCTATACTCGATTTTCCAATGTATTGACTTGATCCTTGGTCATGCCTAAAGAAGTTTTGCTTCAAAAATAATAGATTTATATTTTTGAATGTATCAACAGTTTCCATTATGTAATTACTTACTTAGCATATAAGTACTTTTGTACAATTTACATTTTTACGGATTCTATTTATTTATTAATTAATTTAAGAAAAAAGAGGCTATTCGTAAAATAAGCGCGCTAAAGAAAGTTGAAATAACATAACGTAAATATAGTTATTTAAGATTTTTCAATACTAAAAAGTACAAAAAATATTATCCAGCTCACGTAATATTGAGTGTTTCAGAAAATCGAAATTTTGATGCATTTATATTATTGTTCTTACTCAAATTAGTCTGTAAAGAGAAAAAGCATTTTCATGACACTTAGAATAATCATTTATTTATTTTAGAAACAAAAGGTATTAAAAATATATTTAAATGAAATGTCAATATATTTATTAAAAATTTTATTTACATATGTTAATAATAAACAAATATTAATAAATAGTAGTTTTATTTGAAACAAAAGTAACACATCACACCTTCAATTGAACACAGACACTAAGTCACACACTATTTGAATAGGAAGCTGAAACAAAATAAACATATTAGTCTATTTTTTCTAAATTGTCATATATAGTAAACAAATATGGCGTACGGTAACCAGAGATAATTTTAGAGATGGGAATGACGAATGAATGACTGAACGTAATGGTTTTTATGCAGTGAACGTAAAGTATTGGGTAGAAATAATACGACAGGTTATTTTAATAATTTTATTACTCTGATACCGATGATAATTCACTCGACTCTTCTGACACATGTACACACCGCGACAAAACTTTAGCAAACTACACATTTTTCAATACAACTCTTAAATAAAAAGAAATTTTTATCTTTTATGTTCTACGATTAAAGATAGTGCGTCAAGGTATTCATATAAATATTAGGAAGTGGCAGCTATTGTTTACATATAGATTCCGCGTAAAATCGTAAATCATTTTTTTCATAATTTTATATGTTGTAGAGAGAATTATAGTAGGTCTTCGTCATCATTGGTGTAGATCGATTAGGGGTGGATATTTCTCCTTTGACTTTATATAATACTAGCGGACCCGACAGACGTTGTCCTGTCTACACGTCTTTAATTTGAAAATTTCAAACTTTTTTTAATAATTTTTTTGATGAAAATTATTATTCAAATTGTGAATCTAAACCATTCCCAGATCCCCTTAAACACACAAAAAATTTCATCAAAATCGGTCCAGTCGTTTGAGAGAAGTTCAGTGACATACACACTCACAGAAGAATTATATATATAAAGATATTCATTCAAAATTCTCGAAATAGTTTTCACAAAAGTTCCTATAACTTCATCCGTCGTTTTTAAAATATCCCTCTTACAGGGAAGTGTAGGTGAAGTTCTCTCAACGTGTTTATATATGTTCATTGCAATAATCTTCTAACAGTGAGATCTGCACGGTTTGGCATTTTTTTCATAGGTGACGTGAGAGAAGTTGGTGGATCTGGGATCCTTTTTCGCTTTCTGGAATGCGAAGGCCTAGCTTTCGAATCGGGTTCACTCATTTTGATAAAGTACCTGTCGAAAATTAATAATATTATATTTTATTTTACGTTAATTTTATAACAGTTGTACACATTATATAGATATTTAGTCCTCATTGAAAAATAACTCTCCCAAATTAAAAAAAATCAATAAAATTTAAAACTTCCTTTCATAAATCTGTAAAATAAAACGATTGTTACCGTTTTATGCAATTTTTGTAATAAATAACACTATAAAAATATTAAACTCACCTCGGTGTTTGTTACACTGCACTAAAATCACAATCGTATGCGATATCGGAATCAGTAAAGGGTTGCTAAAAGTCGTCAGTCTGCAGTCACTTATTTTTTATAACACCGTCCAAATCACGAAACAAACACAAATCCAGTAGAAAGACGGGTCCGTTAGAAATCCAACACAAATGAGCACCCGTAACATAAATTCGTTGGCTTACTATTACAAGGTTCTGTGTTAATTTCAATAAAGTTTAGTAATTTTTACATAGAACTTCGTTATTTTGTTATCGTAAAAAAAAACAACATAGAACTATGTAAAATTGAATATTTTGTAGTAAAAGTGCCGCTATCTAGTGGTTTGTTTTTGCAAAACTGTAGCTAATGACACATAGAACCTTGTAGCATTAATAACTAATTATGTACTAAAATTGTAACATAGAACCTTGTAATCGTGAGCCAACGAATTATGACATCAAACGTGACGGTGGCCGGGATAAACAATTGTCAAAATGTCACTTGTCTAATAAAGCCTTTAATTAATGATGTGAAAGTTTTTTAAGATTTATTTTCTTTTTGGCCTTAAAAATTTGAACAAAACGTCGTACTTTGTAATTTAAAGATTTTGTTATTTTTTTTAAAGTTCAGTTTCCATTCTCGATAATTCATTCTAAATGTCCCATCTCTATGATTCAAAGACAATTTGATTAATGCTTTGGATAAAATGTAAACACTTGATCTATGTAATTAATTATTCTTACATTTAACCTACTCTTTTTCTTTTTTAAAATAATAAAAACTTACCTATATGGATAGCCTTGAGTTTTAGCTCTGAATACGGAGAGAAGGAGAGAGAAAAACACGGACACCAACACAAGCCCTACAACGGACTGGAAACGCCGTCTCTTTCCCTCCTGTGCCCTTTGTATATCTGTCCCTTTCACTCCTCCTGCCGCCTCTATCATTAGTATCATACCGACTACTACAGCGCCATCTAAGGTGGACTTAAGGAAATTATTAGTATTTTGTTGAATTTTTTTTTTATATTTATTTATTTTTTATTATATTATTATATAAATACATTTCTGCTTTTAGATTGTAAATATTAACTCAGTGTATATTAAAAGTTGGCTAATTAACGTATTTTACTTACTACAAAAAAATTGTATACATCGGACCTATGGTTCTAAGTTATAAGGGCACCAATGACAAACTGACATTGTTTTATAATAAGTATGTATGAAATTGAAGAATAAAATAAATTAAAAAATTTTTTTTTATATTCTTAAGAAATGGCGCAAAATATAAAAAGATATTTTCATAAAGGATTAATTTTAGTGACATCACAACCAACAGTTTTGCCTTTAGGACTTGACAAGTCTCAAATGCAACAATCTAAAAATATTAATTAACAAAACTTGATTTTATTTGACAACTAGTTTTTTTATAATTAGAATTTAAAGTTTTTTTAGTATTTGTGAAAAGGATACTCAAAATCGCTACAATATAGCTCTCCAATACGAACTGGCCATGAGATCCTCCATTAATGTATACAGGTCCATTCTTTGTCCTATGGAAAAATGGTGGACCTCTAATCTGGTTCCACATTTGTCCGGACACCATAGCAAAGCAGAAGAATACAGCTCCGATTGCCCACAGTTGCTTATTGTACAGAAATTCCAGATTGTTCCTTCGCAAATACAAGAACCCTGCTACAAGTATGAATAACATAGAGAATGCTACTGCGCCTGAGTAGTTCGGTGGACGCAACACCACAATCTGTAAAAATTATATGGTAAATAAATTAGTAAATTGAATAAAAACTTCATCATTACAGACATTTTTTTATTGATTAAGCCATCTATTTAAAAATAATTTATAGTCGATTTTTTAAAACCGATTTCAATAAAATTTAAACGGAACCAACTCGAAAGTATACCCTTTTGAAACAAAATAAAAGAATTTTCCAAATCAGTTCAGGCGTCTTTGAGTAATCGATGAACATACATAAAAAGACCGACAAATTGAGAACCTTCTCATTTTTAAAGAAGTCGGTTGATGAATTCACTAACCAATAATGTGCGTATGCCCATTTTCCATAAACATGTAACATAAAATTCATGTCACTCATATTACTATCCAATTACTATTCAGAGTTAACAATCAGTGTTAAAACATTAAATACAAACTTGTTAACAGAAGCTAGATAGACGGTATTCAATACACACACTTAGTATATTTTATGCTAGTAAAAATATTGTAATATTCAAGAGGACAAAATGTTTGTAAGTAATAAATACATACTAATGTAATACATACTAATGAAATAATAATATGTATTGTATAGAATGAATAATGTAAATTGTAATTTAAAATTTGGTTTTGAAGTTATACTTCTTTTGGTGTGTTAGGGAAAAAAATGACGAGTGATTTCTTTAAGATGTGACAGATTTAGACTTCAGTATGAAGTTGTCGTTAAATCTCTTTTTAGTAATAGTGTGATGTCTATATTTAAGATATTATATTTATATACACAACATGTGTTTTATATTGATAAAAAAAAACATTATTACAAGCTTCTATTTAGTTTGCCTGTCCCAGCATGTCTGTAATCAAATCTTCATAGTCAAATTTGACCAATGTCCCAGTGTCTGTTAGAGTTAAAATTTGGCACACACATTTGGTTCTCGTGACTGCACGATTACCTAAATGTCGCGACTTTTAATCATTTCCATAGTGATCCTCATAATACTTGCATCAAATGAAAGGGCTTGCCAGGGAAACATAATAAGCAAAGTGATACATATTATAAATCCAGTATGGCAGACTCCCAAACATGGCAGACTAAAGACTATATTTTTTTATAAGCCCACATGATATGGCTATCAAATAAAAGAGTTTGCTGATAAAAATAGAAATAAAATAAGAAAACATGCTTTTATTTAAAAGTTCTATAAAAAAACAAAGAAGTATAACTTCTTACTTGTGTACATAAGTACATACATTTCTTTTATATTTCCTCATTACATTTATGACTAAAAAAGAGATAAAATAAAGTTAATATCTTATTAATATCAAAAGAAAAAAGAACTTCTACAGATCTTACCTGAACATCAGTCCTATCATGAATCCACTTAGCAATAGCTTCAGCATGGATACCAGCTCTTTCAAAGTCCATAGAATCAGCTGGTTTGGGCTTGCCTTTTGCTGGGAAGTGCATGATTACTGGGGCTGTGTTGAGACGCAGCTGAAAATATGAGGTAATCATGTTATTCAAATGTTTGTATAACAATAATTACTAACTACTTCTTTTAATTTTGAAGATGATCAAGAAAGTATTACAATAAGACCTAGCAGGCACAATTATAGTATTTAATGGAAGAGTTAGTTATATATTTGAATAGAGGCAGAAACAACAGGCAAAGAGATTCTATAACTTGGGTGAGAAATATAATTATTTAACTCATAATATGTAGATTTTCGTTGAATAAATTGATCAAATTAACTGCTATTATGATTATTTATTGCATGATAAACTATTTATTTACACCTTTCTCTAAGAAAAAAAGAAAATAAATAACTTAATAATAAATAAGAAGCATATTCACCATTTGAAAGATATCTGAGCCTTCATCAAAATCAACCATTCCAAAGTATAGTTTATTATCCTGCCCTTGTGCATAACGCATGGAGTTTGCAACTATTAAATATTCATCATAAACATGTTGGCATATAGCACAACGCCTTGAAGGAGCCATAGCTGTAAACATTACAATAAACGAATAATCTCTTGGCGGAGACTTCACGTAATCCTTAAACTTGTTTAAATTCAGCGATATTACTGAATGTTTCGCTGTCATATCTGTTAGCTGTTGTATTTTTTCCTCAAGCTGAAATACAAGAAAAAATCATAAAAAAGTTATAGAAGAGTTTCACCGGTTTGTAAAATTTGTAAATGAAACTTACTCCCTTTGCTCGATTTTGGCCATTGACATTGTAGTATGTTAATAAAGCAACAAAACAAAGTAGTAATTTAAACTTCATTGTGATATTTAATGCTTATTTTAATAATTACTATTTAAAAAACTCCTAAATGAATAGAAACGAAAAAGCCAATAATGAAACGCCAAGACCCAAGTGCCAACCAAACTTTATAAATTGACATTTGACAATTGTAACGTCACCTGTTATGATAATTTTCTTGCCATATCCAAACATATTTTTTACTATTTACAACAAAGGGAGAAGAATTTTGCCCTTTTATCCCACTAGATGTCACGATCACTATGATTCTCAGTCTATTGTAAAGCTCAATAGCATCGAAGGATCTTTTTTTAAATTTAATTAAAATGACAAATTGTGCATTGCCAGGATGCAAGGAAAATGGATATCTTTTGTTCCCAAAAGACGAAAACTGAAGAAATTGTGGGCTAAAGCAATAAGACGACCAAAATTGGCAAAATACAATCTTTATATTCAAGGCTATGTGAACCTTATAATACAGAAAGTGATTTTAAAACTTTTAAATTGTTTACAGGTGAATATTTTTTTTATTTTTTGTACTTTTGTACATATTTAGTTACGGAGTTTCATACAAACTTTCATCCATTATTAATAAGCATTAATACCAAGTTTCAAGTAATTTTGATCATAAATAATTCTTTTTATTATAAACTTTTCGAATTCTGTCTGCCAGAGAAACTCCAAGCATCGCGCGTTCCATTGCTCGCTGAGCGACCTTGAATTTGTGGACCAGCCCTACGGTGAATGTCCACGTTTCGGCTCTGTATGTTATTACGGGTAGGACGCACTGGTTAAATACACTGGTCTTAAGGGATTGTGGTATAGATGATTCTAGAATATGACGAAGCTTCCCAAAAGGGATGAATTTCGAAAAATCCTGTCTTTTCAGATGCCTACATCATATAAGGAATACGACCTCCAAATTTCACGTTTCTACGACCAGCTGTTTTGATCCATTAGTTAGCCAGGGGTCAGGGCCACCACAGGGTGCACCTCTCCTTCTCAATTCTTCCTTAAGCTGGTCTAACTTTCAGGTTAATATATTGCACAGTTAAGATGCGAACACAATACAAGCAAAAAACCAGATACAAATAGATATCATAATAAATTACTTAACCTCAGACTGAATGTAAATAGGTCATACGCGTAGCGCCGTCCGTTCAAGAAATCTTCCCCTTTACCGCAGGTAGACACTAGACACTTTTTCAACTAGTCTCCTATTAAGATAGTTCTCTATATCTTTACCCTTTTATCTGTATACAAATTCGTACATACCTACAATACACATATTTATTTATTTTTTTAACGATCCTTACAATTTATATGTAAGCATTTTTGTTTAATATAAACATGGTCGTTATATATTCTATGGATTTCTAGTGCTACTAATTACCATGGATGACAAATACTAATTATTATTATAAATTCAAGGTGTAAAAGTAACGACAAATAGCGTACCCGTATGCATTCGTTACTATAGCATCAGTACTCGTTACTTTTGAATCGTTACTCGTTACTTTTGATACCCGATAACATACTCGTAGAGCATCGTATCGAGTCGTGTTGCGTATGTATTGCGTACGGTATAAATTATACGATATACCGTATATCGTTGACGTCGCGTTGTTTTCTGTGGAATAATGCACGATCAACAAACCATTTCAATTGGAGAGTTACATGATATCCAGAACCCGTAAATTTTGATTATTTATAAATCTATATAATTTTTAAAAACTTTACTAACAATATTTTTTTATTAATAATTTTTGAAATTAAATAATAAATATAAAAATAGGTAATTTAAAAATGAATAAGTAACGGCATCTATCACGTTAGTGTGACGTCGTAATGCATATTTTATTTAAAATCAATTGCGCGAATGATTTATCAAATCATAATCTGTATGTATTACACATACTCACATGATCTTGACTCACGTAGGATAAATAGATAATTATTGTATTACAATATTGTACACAATTATTATTTTAAAAGAGCCGTTGTTGAGTTTCTCGTCGGTTCTTCTCAGCAGAAAACTTTATTCCGAGCCGGCGGTAGTTCCTAACGGACTAACATTAAATTTTAATTTAAAATGTAAAATTGACGATTCAAAAGAGCTTGTAAAAGTTTATTTGAATAAAGTATATTTTGATTTCATTTGACATAATCATTTAGTAAAAATTATAAGTATTTGTTGGATAAAAAACTAAAAATGTGTTCTAAATATAATGGTTGTTTCTAATTGAAAATTGTTTCTAAACAAAATTTCTAAGATCTGGAAGTCATGCAACTCGAAATAAATAAATAAACTCTCTAATTTACTCATCAATGGTATTAAGTATTAACTGAAAGTTGTATTTTGCTGAATAAAAAATCAATAAAAACATCAGTACGAAAATGTATACGGAAAATGCGAGTAACGAAATGCATTCGTGAGTAACGTTTCGGTACTCGGTACTAGATGGCGTACCCGTTACTCAGTAACGAATACATACGGTTTGCCACAGCTCTATTATAAATTCAAAAGTTTGCACGTCGATGTCGTACGTGACCTTCCGATACCTTCTAGAATTTTTGCGGAAAACTATTTTATTTCCAAAGGACGATTAAAATAAAAAATAACATACCTACTACTAATTGTATTTAATTATGATAAAAGGGTCGCGGGTAAATCCCGCTGGGGGCATTCGTGTGATGAGCAAGAATGTTTGTACTCCAGTCATGGGTGATTATATTCGTATGTAAAGTATTTAAAGTTATAGTACCTGGGCGACCTAGCTTCGCTTTTTGTTATATCGTATTTTTTAGATAAGAAAAAAACTAAAAACTTGAATAAATACATAAAAAAAACTAAAGTAAAAACTTTGTATCGGACCGGGATTCGAACCCGGACACTTGTGATTGTCAATCTTGTGCCTTGGCTGCTTGACCACGATGTTTATGCTCGAGCGTGCGAAATTAACGACCATATTTTGCGTGGAATAATGCGAAAGAAAACTGTATTAAAACTCGAAAACACGCCTTTTCCCAGAAATATGTGTTTTTGCGTCATTTTATTTGATTAATATTACTTTAGATTAATTAAAATTTTCTTCAGGTCTATAGTAGACCTGAACAATAACATCTTTTTTGAATACTAGTTTGAACAACTCAAGTTATCTTTGAAAAATATTTGTTTTCATATTGTTATTAAAATAGAAATGTAAAAAATAAGGTACAAGTGAAATGAGCAAACAAAACTGGACATCAACTGAAACACTCGATTCATAATTTACAGTAGTTTTTAAAATATTTTATTAACACAATTCATTCAATAACACCAAGATTATAACATTCTCTAAACATGAAACCTAAAATAATACAATTTCACCTATTTGTATTTATTTTACTTACCAATTTTTTATTCATTCAAACATCATTTGACTATGAGGTATACATAATAAAAATATTTTAATTTTTTTACATATTGTAAGTCGTCAGAAACGTTTATATACTATATTATATATATTTGATAAGTGCAATGTCTAGACGTCATTCAATAAATATTGTTAGCTCATAAAAAAATAAGATGAGGAAAATAAAACACACAAAACAATCAAGTAGAAACAAAATAATATGGAATGTACAAATCATGTTTATTAACTGATCCCTGGCATTACATCGTTTGCGACTCACTTTTGAATAGACTGACAATTGTTTATTGAATATTATATATCGGTAAAGTATGGTCACAGCATACATACAGGCAACAACAGCACAGGGATAAGTACACCCATTAAGATAGCAAGTATACTAAAGCCAGGTTCTGAACTCAGCAATGTGTGGTACACAGTACCTCGGGGGTTCGGTTCATAAATATCTCGTTTGGACTTAACCTTCTACTCTAACTGTACATTAGTTTCGCCTTACACTAAAATAATCTAGAAGTGATATATTTCGCAATAGGTAACGCGCATGTATGTATGTAGGTAATACTCCAAAAATGATAAGCTGAAATTCTAATCACTCGGTAGCTGTGAATTGTTTAAACATATGGGGGTCGCGTTCGATCTGTGCGGACGCAGCATCCAGTCCGCAGAGTCGTCCGGTGACACTATGTACTATACAGGCCCCGAAGCGCTATGCGGCTACCGGTGATTAGTTTGCGCGATTTGAAATGAGCAGATAGTTCACATGGCATAGGGCTTCGAGGGTAATCGGGTGGGTGTTTACTGTTGTTTCGTGTAAAGATAGATGGCTACGATGAGACCGTATAAACCCAACACTTCAGCGAAAATGAGGATAAGAATCATTCCGACGAATAGCCTGGGTTGTTGAGCAGTACCGCGGACTCCGGCATCACCCACGATGCCTATGGCGAAACCGGCGGCCAGACCCGAGAAACCTACGGCGAGACCAGCTCCCAAGTGGATGAACCCTCTGGAAATAGAATTATAACAATTTAACAATAATAATATATTAAAACAAAAATGTGTTCAAAAATAACTATAAAATTAATATAATGTTTCCTTTTATATTATATCTCCTCAAATTCAAAATATTTTATTCAGCTTTAAATTAATGACATTTTTTTAACTAAACGTAATGAGTCTACTAGAAGTTCGAAAAGAAGAATAATAAATAAATATGTTGGGACACTAACAATCAATGTGGTAAACAATTTTTTTCAGTTTTAAATGAACATAAAAATATTGAAAGTTACCAATTTATGGGATATGCCAAGGAGGAAATGCCTAAGCTATAAAACTTATAAATTAAATTTCAATTACATTGCCATGTCTCTTTTCTTTAGCACCACTGGTCAATGCTAAGCAATTGTTGCAACATTTTTCAATGTCAAGTAAAACTTAAAATCAAGTACATTATGAGGAAACTACTGATGCATATAGAATATAGATCTTAACTAAGTCTACTTAATTATTAATGAGTCACTCGATACTAAATATATTATTATCTTTCTAATCACTTAATATTATATGCATACATAACTATCTTTCAAGCTATTATTAACAACCTTTATAAAGCAGGTTCAATTTAATACAATATCAAATGATAAAAATATATTAATGATTTTTCTTTTTCTTTAGTTTAAATAACATTTAATGTATGTAAAACATAAAATACAACAATTTAAATGAAATTTGTTTAAAATGGAAAGTTCTTTAATCATGAACCAGCCTAAACAATTTAACTAGTTCTACAGATAAATAAAATTAAAGTGTCTGTTGTTAAAATCAAAATAACAGCTTTTCACTAAATGCATATGAATTATATACAGTACTTAAAGGAAAAACACATTTTTTTGTCTGTCCGTTTGTTCCAGCTAATCTCCAAAACAGCTGGACTGATTTTTATGTGACTTTCATTAGCAGATAGCTGATGTTATAAGGAGTAACTTAGGCTACTTTTATTTTAGAAAAAGAATTAGGCTTCCACTCAAAAAAATGAAAAGTACTTAGGGAAATCGGAGCAAAGCGAAGGTAAGTCGCTAGTATATGATATGTTTCTCATAATTACAAAATAACCTAATCAAATTTAAAAAAATAAAATTTTCTAATGTATATTACAAATATGAAGATCTTACCTGAACAAGGGGTAGTTGGCTGGTGCTTCCAAAGAACCAGCAATAAGTACAGCTACGACCAGCCCGTAGATGGCAATGATACCCGCCATGACAACGGGAATGATGGACTTCATGATCAGTTCGGGCCTCATCACCGACATGGCGGCAATACCCGTTCCTGACTTGGCCGTGCCATAAGCTGCTCCGAGGGCTGAAAATTGATAATTTAAAAGTTATTTTTTTTAGATATTGAGACTAATACTACTAAGATAGTGTTAAAACAAAAATACTAACTTAACTTAATAAATGCGATATTTTATAATAGTTTGTTATGTAATGATTAGAATAGTGTTTTAGTCTTTCCTTTATCAAGCCAGCTTTATACTGGCAGTCCAATTGTTAGAATTGACAACTAAGTAATTCTAATAATTGCTTACTTATATCTTCATATGTATGTTTTTAGTAAAGTTCTCATTAAAACTATTAAACAGCCCATCTTATGAACCTAATGAAAATATCTTAATAACATTGTGACCAAGTAAATTATTTAGACTGAGATCCTATATAATAAATTATGTAATTGATGGGGTGTGGCTTTCCATGACCCATTTAAGTAATATAGAGATATAATTTATATTTTAAAATGAAGTATTTTTCTAATTTACGTATAATAAAATATAATTAAATATTTTTACTGTTCTTATATGAAAAGCATTTGTCAAGATTGTAATAATTAAAAAAAAATTTTCATTCAGTACATGACATATTACTTAAGTCTATCAAGCATTTTAGATAAAATCATGTGATTCAATGACATTTTTCTGTTTATCAACCTGAAGGCCATACTGTTAGCAACTTCTAGACTAGAAGCTATACATATTATTTGTATAGTATATAATAGACTAACTAAACTTTGTATATTAAGTTATCTTTCTCTGAGATTCATGCCTATCAAATTCAAAGTAATTTATTGAAATAATCAAAATTTATTAATCTACAAATTGATTTAAAGAATGAGATAACATTAAATAATCCATGTTACATATTACTTACACAAATTGTTGAGATTAAAGTATGAACAAGATGCTCGATAAAATCATGTGACCCATTTGTTCCTAAAAAAATTGTGCTTAACCTACTTACAAGTGCTTCTAAGAATTGTGTAATAGAAGTAATTAATCTTGATGGCAATTAACATATTTTAATTATGGGATGCTGAATGGTGAAAATTTCCATTGAATAGTTAGTTTAGATGCATTTACATGTAATGGCATGAAATACTTGGATGAATATATATTGTAAGTAAATTGCTAACATACAAAATTAAAGATTTTCAATACATAATTGATTTATGAATACTATTTTATTCAATAAATTAAGCTAAATACTATAGAATAAGGTTAAAAGTTGAAGTAAAACCTCAAGAGTACAGTTAAAAACTACATTCACATCACATGATTAAGTTAAGTCATGTGATGATAAAGTTATGACAACCTTTTTATCAAATTGGCTGTTTAATTGAAAAAAAATAACCAAGGGAACGTTAAGTGAAATGGTTTTACGCAAACCAATTACTTTCATCGTCGACTCAGAGTAATGTTTTAATAAATCGTCGGCGAATAATTTTGCAATAAAACCCATATGATTTCTCTTTCTCTGATGAATTCATATAGTTGTAGGTATATAAAAATTCTACGAAATGTGTCATTACGGGATTTAGCACTACATCAGCAATGGTGCCAACATTAAATCTTTTTGATATAATGCTATCACTCACATGACGCTAAATACATTTTTGTAAATCCGTACAACGCCCATAAATACCTCGAATCGCCCTTTTCATGAAAAACGTCAATACAAATACAATCGATTGAAGTATACTATAGATGTCTAGATTTAGCGTATGTCTCAAGGTGCGGCTGTTCCTATATTTAGGTCTCCTAAAATAACCATATTGAAGATTAAACGATAAGTTTAATGTAAAATACGACGAAAGAACCGACCAGCAAAACTAGAAACATGAATCTATGGATACCAAAAACTTTTTAGGGCTTATTGAAGGCAGCCATTCCAATTACGATAATTCGTTGCAAAGTACATACCACTAAAAATGATAGCAGACGCCGCCCCCATAACTCCAAAGAAGGGTCCATAGATAGGATTTTCGGCCATTTTTTATGTGAAGTGTGGGAGTATTTACAGGTCCCAAAAACTGTGATGACTATCTGCACACACTCACTCCACGGAACTATTTTAGCACAGACAAATATGGCCCAAGCTTTGCAGACTCAATAGAATGGGTCATATGACGATTGATGTTCAAGGCAGTACTCGATATGCCCTAACTTCTGATTGGTGTAGATACGTCATTTCCGAAATGCGCAACCAATCCTGAGCTAAAGATTCAACACTGGTATGACGTATAACATTGATGTGGATCGCTGGCCAGCAAATTTCAACTGCGCATGGTCAGTTATTCCGTTTTAGTACTTTTAATTTGAATGTATTCAATTATCCAGACAATTACAAGTATAATATTAATTAAAATATTAATATGTTTCATTTTAAGTGCTATAAGTTTTAAATAGATTAGTAACTAAATAAGATATGTTATGTTTGTTATAATATGTATTTTAATTGACTAATTCATGATGTTGCCATAGCAAAGGGCGCGAAATTTCAGATTACCAAACTAAAACAAGGTATACCGATAATTCCGGGCTTGAATGAATTAAATATAATTTTATTTCTTTAGTTAGTTTTATGTAGATATGTGTAAAAAAGTAAACTTTATGAAAATAAATGATAACTTGGGAATTCTTAAGTACATTTCACTTTGGAAAGCAACGTGCAAAAGCGTTTTCAGAAATAACTTATTTTAAAATCTCTAAATCTAAAAGAACCATAAAAGAAGAATAGATTTATTCTGTACTCAAGAAAATGAAGCAAGGCAGGGAATCAATGTAAAAGGAAGAATAACAAAAAATATTTACATAATTTGTACAACTGGTGTTTTTTTCACAGTTTAAGTGTTTATTAATAAAAGTGAATAAAAGAAGAAACGTTTATCATTCATAAAATTAAAATAATTTTATTCATTATTATTATATTTTTCTTTTCCGCTTCTGATTATTATTATTATTTCTATATTTTTGGATTCACAGGGGGCACTTCATTTCATGGGACATATTATGTCATGTAGACTGTAGAGGTCCTTGTTAGTAAAAATTCTGAGTAACATAACCGGTCACCGGATAATGCATAGGGAGTATACAAAACTGATTTGGTTAATGGAATGGAGTTTGGATGGACTATAAAATTGCATTATTGGATGAGTCTAGCGGACATCTGCCTTTTTAACAATCTCAACATTGAACTAATTTAGACAGACGATGACTCGCCTCCCACTTGATGGGCCCCCAGGAAGCGGCATAGTACCTTGGGCGCACCATCGGCGTGGTCGACTAAAGGTATTGAGAGGCGTGCACCGGTTTCACAAGAATGCTCGTGAGCGAATTTCCTTGTTATTACGCAGATTCAGCACTTCCACACTTTCGGGTACTTGGCACTTGCGCTTCACGCCGGATGGTCAATGAAGATAAGCTTGGGACGCGGGACAGATGTTTTTTCCCTCGGTAGTGCAAGTTGGACACACTTTATTTCGTCAATGTTGCGTAGAAAGGAGAAGACATCATGGAGATTGACCAGTAAAAACCGTTTCTGATTGTCTTCCTTAAATTTGATTTTGGTAATCTGTGGGTTGACTGTCAGTTTTGGTCATGGTTTGTCAATGTCAATAACATGTTGAAATTTGAATTTTATTGGTTATGTTTTTATTCCTCATGTGATATGTTTATTTAGTTTTCTTTTAATAATAATAAAATTTGTCATAATAAGCTAAAATGAAGTTTAATTATAAGGTTTGTTTCACGTTTCTATTTAAATAAAAGACTATATAACTGTAATATATTTTAATTTAAACTTTTTGTTTTTACAAGATTAAATTTTTCATTTGAAGTCTTTTTATTTAGTCTTGAAATTTCAAATATAATTAATAAAATAGGTGTTACAACTATGTGTTTTATATCGTTATTTATTTCAGTTCCAAAACTTGCTAGGAACAGTATATCGGCGTGGAGACATTCTATTTACAAATGATGGAAACTGTGTTATCAGCCCAGTTGGTAATAAAATAACGGTTTACAATCTTAAGCAGTAAGTATTACAGAAAAACAAATACAACACTAACATTGTTATTGTTTTTTGAGTTGACAACATATTTTAAGACATACAATTATATTACTAATTTTTAATATTTCAGAAATAAGAGCAACACCTTGCCAATTGAAAGTCACTTTAATTACACTGCAGTTGATGTCTCACCGAATGGCTCTATGCTGCTTGCAATTAATGAAAGTAAGTATATGATACATTTTATTTTTGGCCAACTATAAAGAGAAGTAGCTATTTATATTAGTTATTTTCTGTGTGTACGTTATGCTATATCTTTGACTTGTAAACCAATTTTAAAATTATTTTTCAAAGAATAGGTTAAATTGCAAGGGTTTTCTGTGAAGCGAGAAATGACTAATAACTCATATTGTCCATCAACATTTTTTGTTTTTTATTATATCAGAATGTTAGTTATTGATATTGATCCAATTATAGAAGTCACAGTCAGAGGATGCAAATGAAATGGAAACTTTACTTATAAAATACTTTAATATTACTTTTACAAACTAATTATCCTAAGGTGATTACACTGTCGAAGTATGACAAATGGAATGAATTAAGAAAAGTCTCTAACAATAAGGTGCACTCGGATGTTACAACACTGTCACTTCGCGAGAGTTATGTTGAAATACGAAAAGAATGCGATATTGGTGGTCGACGCGACTCGCGAGGTGGTTCCCATGCATTATGGTTGCGAAACAAAGTCTTTAGCAATAAAAGTTCATACGAACGGAATGCGATGTTGGTGGTCGACGCGAGGTAGTTTCCATGTATTAGGGTTGCGTAACACCTCCCCCCGTAGAACAGCGACTATTGAAGACTCTCGTCGTAAATTGAGCTGGGGGTTGATCACTATCAACCCTTTCAACGGATGGAAGGGCATAGGTCGCTTGAAGTTCATGTTGTTCTTCTTTCGGTTCTTCAGGTGAGTTCTGTGTCTGCTTCGTGAAGTACTTACGATAGCAGAGGCCACTAATAAGGACTCCTGCACCTACCAACACTAGGTACATTGGTATCGTAGTGTGATATAAGCTGTAGTCGGTAACGTCAGTTAGCTGTACCGGCGTTTGCATAGCGACCTTCATATTCATTTGATGTAGGTGATCTAATTTGACTGAGTTTAACTTCAGTAATGGATTTGTGGGCGGCGTCTTTTTGGTAGTAGTAGGCAGATCTATGATGTTCAGTGCTTGTCCTTTCAGATGATTGTTGCTATTTGAAATGGTGAAGTCAGGTGTTTCTAGGTAGCATTGATGTGGTATAATAGCAAGATAGCTACCCTGCAGGTTCTTATAGAAGTCTTGAGCACAAGATAGGTGAACCTTCGTTGAATTAGGGAAACTAACAGCGTAGTGTTTCTCATCTAGCTCCTCATAAGCCGACCTGGTTAGTAGCACTGAAGTGGGGCTGCAACTCGACGTTCTTTGCTGCGTGATGATAAGTTGCTGGATGCAGTCCAATGGTTTATGAATAGGCAAAATCTGCTTCTCTTTGCATAGGTACCATTTACTGGTCTTCGGGCATTCAGCCTCTATGTACTTGTAATCTTCCTCAAAGAGGGCAAGGAATGGAAGGGGTGGAGTAAGAATTTCATTGTTTTTATTCGGGATGATGGATAATTTATACATATCATATATGGGGCGTAAAACTATAGGAAATTTATATACTATTACTATCTGATTACTTACATAATAAGTCCCTAATCTAATTATATCAAAGTATTCCCTAAAATCTATTTCTACTACCCTTTCACTACCGTATAACTTGCTTAACTTCGTAATTATAGCTCGTATCGCAGATACATTTAATATTGAATGATGCATTGTGGAAGTTCTAACGAACGCCAATACATTTTGTAACCTAAGCAGTTCTTGATATGTGGAATCTACATTGTCGCTTAATATTGTAAGTACTTGAGCCAGGTGTGCATACTTTGTAAAGTCATTATTTCGAGTTACTTCGCTAACTAATATGTTTATTTTATCTTGATTTTCTACTATATTATCTAACACTTTTGAATATTGAGAAGTCCAATTCTTAGATAGACTAACATGATTATTCAATTCAAAGGCTAGATTCGTTAATTCATGTCCTGGATCTGTGTTAAATAGCGCAAGGACGAGCTGATCGCATAAATTAATAAAACGCGTTAATATATGCGGGTTACCATCAAACTCTGGTAATAATCTAAGGGATTTATAAATAGAATCTAAGTCAGGATGAACCATTGTATCGTTTAATATATTTCGCCTTTCGTCTATCGCGCTGAGCCTACCACTAGGAAAAGTATGCCTTAATCTAATATTCCGCGATTCTCTAGGGTGAAAAATCTTGAATAATAAAAATTATCTTATAAAAACTATAGCTATCGCATGTACCTATTCTTAAACTCAAAATTATATGAATTATAAAAACTTAATTTAAATTAACTATACCACTAAATACGAATACAAAATTAAAATATTTCGATTAATATTTTAAATTTAAATTACCAAACTCTAATTAATTTTTATTACGTAATAGAATAAAATAATATAAAATATAGGATAACCTAGAAAGGATGCAAGGACTGAGAAAGATTCAGAGTACTTACAGGAGTTTCATTTCTTTTGCCGTATTAATTTTCGAACACACCCAGACTGCAACTCTCGTAGATTCAGGATCGCCGAAGGCCGTGATCTATTCACTGACTCTACTTTACAGCGATCCTACCGACTGCGCCAATTATAGAAGTCACAGTCAGAGGATGCAAATGAAATGGAAACTTTACTTATAAAATACTTTAATATTACTTTTACAAACTAATTATCCTAAGGTGATTACACTGTCGAAGTATGACAAATGGAATGAATTAAGAAAAGTCTCTAACAATAAGGTGCACTCGGATGTTACAACACTGTCACTTCGCGAGAGTTATGTTGAAATACGAAAAGAATGCGATATTGGTGGTCGACGCGACTCGCGAGGTGGTTCCCATGCATTATGGTTGCGAAACAAAGTCTTTAGCAATAAAAGTTCATACGAACGGAATGCGATGTTGGTGGTCGACGCGAGGTAGTTTCCATGTATTAGGGTTGCGTAACAATCCTAACAATATTTATAAGTATATTTTATTTATCTCTATTTTGAGGTAATATGGTTTTGAATACACTTTTAAAAGAGTAATCAAAGAAGTATCTAACAAAGTTGTGTACCACATACTTAGTATGTTTTCAATATAAATGTGGAAATCCTTGTTTATTGAAGTTATACTTCTTTTGGCTCGTTTGGAAAAAAGTATGAGAGTAAAACTTTTACGACGCGCGCACACCGACAGCCAAAAAGCGACATGATGAAGTTAGCTGAAAGTGATACGATGAAGTTAACTGCATTCCTTTTACAGAGAGTTGTGACATAGGGGATGAGATTCTTAGCAATTTTTGTTCTGTTACACCAAAGAAGTATAACTTCTTATGTACATACATAAGTACACACACACATTTTTGTATTAATGTTTTTGTGGCATAAATAAATAATTAGATCTATTTTCTTTCAGAGGGGGAAGCACAGATGATTAGTTTACTGACTTGTACAGTCATACACAGATATAAATTCAAGCAAGAAGTAAATGCTGTGAAATTTAGTCCTGATGGGAAATTATTTGCTGCTTGCTGTGATGATACAGGTAAGTTCCGCTTTTTATGTAAAATTAAAAATTACACTGTTAGGTAAAAGTAAAATTTTCTAATTTATTTAAAAACTTTTCTTTGTTTAATCTGTAAGATTTTTGTGACATTTTTGTATATAAATTACCATTTATTAATACAATTGTTTATATTTGCAGTTTTCATAATGACAGCTCCGAGTACTTTTACTGGTGAATTTCGATCTTTCATAATGAAAAGAGTATTTAAAAAAGCATTGGACCAAGTAACATGTCTCGACTGGTCTACTTGTGGGAAATTATTAGCAGTTGGTTCAAAGGACACAACAACTAAAATATATACATCAGAATATTTGGATAATTTAAACATGTATTCACTGAGTGGACATACAGACAAAATTGTTGGTGTTTTTTTTGAGAAAAAGAGTTTAGACCTTATTACTGTTAGTCGGAATGGTCAGATTTGCTTGTGGGAAGCAAGTATTGATTCAGATGATTTAGTTACTTCAGCTGTACAAATTTCACATAAGAAGAGAAGAAAATTGCAAAAAGAAGCAGAACTTCAAGAAGATGAAGTTGATGAGGAGAATGTTATTGAGAAGGATAAAGAATATGTAATTTTATTCATCCTAATTTTTATTTCATATATGTTATTGTTATTATAAATAAGAACAAACTATATTATTGTTGTGACAAATAAATATAAAATGTCATTTTTGTAGAATATTTAATATTATTTATAATTTTTTAAAATATTATAATTTTTATCAAAAAAAATAATTATTTCAGTGCAATTTTTTTAAATATTTAAGGAAAGCGACAAAGATGAAAATATGGATAATGAACCAGAGAAGAAAATAGAAGATGACAAAAGATTACAGTATAAAAAGCTTGGACGCCATTACATTGGCGATGCTATAAGGAATGCTCATCATAAAGTGAAATTAACTGCAGCAGCCTATCACAAAAGTACTAAAATATTAATAACCGGTAGGTCTATTTAAATTACTTATTATTTACAATTTTTAATGTATTACCCCTGACTTTGGTACGTGTTTATTTGGTAGTTCTGAAGAAAGATAAAATAAAGATATTCTTTTTTTTCTTTTATCTTCTATTCTTTTGGGATTGCAATGGAAAGTTTGGTGAAAAAAATTTATAAAATTACTGTATCTGTGTGTTAGATAGTAGGTTTAGACTTTGTTAGCAGTGTAAAAAATTTAAATATGAAAACTGATAAAAAAGGTAATTAAATTTGGAGATTTCTGACAAATATTTCAAAACGCACAGTTTTTTTGTTTGTATCATTTAGAATTTTAGATTAAAATTGTTTCATTATTATATTATTTATTGTTAAATTATTTTTTAATTTATTTACTATTCTTTAATTTTTTTTTTAATTTAAAGGCTTTAGGAATATTTTACTTTTTCTAAACATGTTTAATTATTGTTTAGCACGTTGAATAGAAGAATATTGTAGGGCAGACACCATGTATCATAACTATGATCATGTTCATAAATCATTCGAAATGTGAGAAGCAAAAAAAAATCTAAAAAAGATATTTTTTTTTCTTTTTTTTATTACATTTCCACTTTCTTCTCAGGGTTCTCAACCGGTATATTCTTCCTCCACGAGATGCCAGATGTGAATCTCATCCACACCCTCAGTATATCGGAGCACAGGATCAGTAGTATCGCAGTGTCAGGTCAAGGTGACTGGATAGCATTCGGTTGTCCCAAGATTGGACAGCTGCTTGTGTGGGAATGGCAGAGTGAGTTCTTTTTTTGTTATTTAATAGCAGCTTCGCTGTTAATTTTATTTTAATGTGTTTTTAACTTTTTTTAAATAATGTATTGTTTATGGTAGTAGTTCCGTGAGCATCCAAATCGTCTTAGAATTTTGTGGGTAGATAGATGATATCTATTGTAATTTTGACTGTTCTGACATCAAAAATCTTATTTTCTGTCTTGAATATGAATTTTGGGAACTACTTAATAATTATGAAGATAAAAATAAAACCGCAAAAAACAAATATTTGCGTAAATTATAGAAAGTATATAAGTGTTGAGTTGTCGTGGGCTCTTATCAGCAATTGCTTTTTGGGCAATTTTGACGATCTTAATTTTTAAGTTTAAGATACAAAAATATCGCAAAATGTTATTACTATAGTAAATATTGTCTGCATTAAATATTATTATTTTTTCTTACAGGTGAACAGTACGTAATGAAGCAACAGAGCCACTCTTTAGACATGACATGTCTGGCATATTCCCCCGACGGCCTTTACATTGTGACCGGAAGTTACGATGGCAAAGTCAAAGTTTGGAACACTACTTCCGGTTTTTGTTTCGTCACTTTTAACGAACATAAGTCGACTGTGACCAGTATTGTATTCAGCCCGAATAAGAAATTTTTTGTGTCGTCCTCGCTAGATGGCACTGTACGGTGTTTTGATCTTAATAGGTGAGATTTTGATTTTCTTAAAAAAAAAAATAATTTGGATGGCCTTTATATTTTGACCCGACAGCAATTATCTGTGTCGTCGTCGCTAGATGGCACTGTGCGGTGTTTTGATCTTAATAGGCATGGGTCCACTACCCATATAATTGTCTTAAAAAATCAGTTTGGACATACGGTGAAGGAAAATATCGTGAGAAAACCTGCAAGTCTGAAAGAAACTAGTACGTTTTCACTTGGCCAGCGTGGTGGACTATGGCCTGATCTCCCTTGTATTGAAGGTGAACAATGTACGGATCCCGAGGGATATCCATACTAACCATTAAAACGCACCAAGGGACGAACCCGAGCGAAGCGAGAGTGAGTCGCTAGTAATAATATAATTATTTTAAAAAATATATTAAAGAGTGCGTGTATGAATGTGTACACGCTCAAGAAGTAAAACTTCTGTAGGTTATCGGTATTCTTTATGAAATTCAATTTATGTTTTAAATAAGTAGGATAGGTGGGATACTAAAAATAACGCATATTAGGCATATTACAATCATATATTTATAGAATATCATTTAAAGAAAGAATATAATATTATATATCATTTGTCAGACAATAACAACGGTTACCATGGCAACAAACGTACGTACATTTTTTCGTAACGCATTCACCAGCTACCCCCCAAGTCAAGCGTGCGTAAAGAAATTTTACTTCAAAAATATATAAAATATACCACTAATTCTATTCCAGATATCGCAACTTCCGTACACTGACATCGCCGAGTCTGGTACAGTTTGGTTGCGTAGCGCTCGACTCCAGCAGCGAGTTGTGCGCCGCCGGGGGACAGGACGTGTTCGAAATATTCATATGGTCCATCAAGTTTGGCAAGCTTTTAGAGGTTGGTTGGGTTTTAGTTTATTATTATTACTAGCAGAACCCGCGGAAAAACTACAACAAAAAAAGTCTAAAAAGTTAGGTTTCATAAAATCTTTCATCAACTATTTTACCCTCTTAAGGGTTGAATTTTAGAAATCGCTGAAATATTTCGGGATTGAATTTAGAAAGATTCTTCCTTAGTTTATGCCTTCGTCATAACAGAAATACGTGTGCGAAATTTTAAGTTCCTAGCCCTAACTGTTTGGTCTGTGCGTTGATACATCAGTCAATCACTTTTGTCTTGTATATAATAATATTATATAATATATAAAAATAAGTCAGTGGGATCAAGACAATGTATAAGCCATTGAAAATAACATGTACATACATTTTATATATTGGCACAAGAGTTAAGTCTCATATAGTTATAAAATTTTTTTGTTTGAACACACCATTCTTTGTAACTACCACTGCATTTAATAGCCTATTTATTGAGAAACAGGGTGTTTATCTGATCAGAGTCGTGGAGAAAACAAATTAATCAAAATAAAAAAAACTATATTTAAGTAATGAAAGTGATTTTTCCTATGCAGTTGTTTTATAACCTCAAAGTTCATTTTTTAAACTGCTAATGTATGCAGCTAATAATAATACTAATATAAATAAAACAATAACTTAGATGTAGGTATTATAATTATTACAGGTACTAGGAGGACATGAAGCACCCGTGTCTTGTTTATCCTTCAGTCCCATGCTTTCCAGCTCTAAGCTGGCTTCGGCTTCATGGGACAAAACTGTTAAACTATGGGATTGTATAGAGAGTAGTTCAGATTGTGAAACAATACAGCTCACATCTGATGCATTGCAAGTTGTGTTCAGGCCTGATGGTGAAGAGGTATGTACGTGATATATGTATGTACTTATATGGAATTAGATTTACATTCTCTCTCGTGACTATGATTGCTGTAAAGCATTCGAAATGTCGGGAACCATAAATTAAAATAAATCTGCGAAATAATCCGAAAAAATAGTGTTTCTTTTTGGGTTAAGTATTCTGACAGTTCACAGATGGATTTTAAGTCGCTTTGTTCTTTTGAAATTATACTTCTTGTGGCACGTTTGGAAAAAAATATGAGAGTAAAATTTTACAATGCTCCCATACATCGACAGCCAAAAAGCGACATGATGAACTTATCTGCATTCCTTTCACAAACAGAGAGTTGTAACATACGGGATGAAATCTTTAGCTATTTTTGTTCTGTTACGCCAAAGAAGTATAACTTCTTACGTACCTAGATAAGTACATACGTTTTTTTGCAATATAATTAAAAAGGTAATAATCGAAGTACAACAATATTTTAACTGTCCATTCGACGTTAATGCAGTAATTTTGTAGTTTTTTTATTCAAGATAAAATATAGCTTATTTGATTAAAGAGAAATAAATATGTAAAAATAATAATAATTATTTATTAATGATTTAGTTAATGGCCAGTTGGCCCATTCATATATAATATGGACTATAAAACAAAATGGACTGTCTTCTATATAAGATGGGTCCATAAATCATAATACAGACTATAAAATGGTACATTTAAATATTTTCAGATTGCAGTATCAACATTAGATGGTAATATATCATTCTTCAACACATCAACTTCAGAGCAAACTGGTAGCGTGGAGGGAAGGAATGACTTGGGCTCGGGCAGAGCTGATACTGATTTGATTACTCCGGAAAAGATGTTGAAGACTAAGTGAGTGGTTTGATTTACGTTTTTTTATGTTTAGTATTAAATTGAATATTATAATATAAATGAGCAATTGTTGTATATATAAAAATTTATTTCGTTATAAATGTGTCTCAAAAATATTTGTAACGATTTGAATCGAATTTGGTATATAGATAAAGTTTTGCCTTTTAAGTTTATCTTTTCCGAAAAAAGCCAAGTGGACGGACGGCCAGGTGCATTAATTTAATAATAAGTGTTTTGATTCTTAGATATATTGGTATAAGTATTTAAGATGTTATGTGAATATTGTTTTTTTATTTCACATATTACTCCAATTTTAAAATTTTACTTTTGGTTAGTTTCAATTGATTCGGGTTGATTGAATGTTATAGTTTGACTTAAGGGTATAGAATAAAGTTATGAATGTATGTATGTATGTGTTACTTGACCTAGCCATTTAAGCTTATATAAAAGAGGTCATAATGGCCTGGTTCCATATTAAATAAAAATGATGTATTATAACTATATATCATTACGACTCACACTCGCTCTGCTTGGGTTAGTCCCTAGTTACGTTTTAACGTTTAGTATACATTTTTCAGAGATATAATAATTTCCCGCAGTAAAAAGTACCTATCATTATATCAAAGTTCCTATAACCTATCATTAAATCAAAATCTGTTTAGTGGTTTTCTGGTGATGCGTTCTCAGACAGACATAGATACGGACAGATAGACGGTTTCTGTATCGATAGTAATGTCTATTTCATTAAGTTTTTCCAAAAAGTTTTAATGTACAGATTCGACTCAATTAGATTTTTATTAAATGTATATAAAATTCTATAGTGTGATTGGACGGATCGGATTTGAGTGAAACTGGTAATGCAGACAGCTTATATTCTGTTTTAATACATATTCTTTTTCCACGCAAGCAAAGCCGCGTGTATATACTAGTATAGTAAATACTGAGACAAGTTTTCATTAATTTCAGAGCGTTCACAACAATATGTTACTCAGCTGACGGTCTATGCATACTCGGGGGAGGTAACTCTAAGAACATTTGTTTGTACAGTATCAAGGAAGCTGTGCTTATTAAAAAGTTCATTATAACCCAAAACAGATCTCTGGACTCTGTCAATGTAAGCACTTATTTAATTATATTGTATTCATGTAATTTTCTAATTTATAATACTAGCTATAGCTATTTACAATAATGTATGGAAGTAAGCCAGATTTGTCGACATTTATGATTACTGTTCCGCTCCCTTGGGTAGTAGCATGATCATATCTAGCCCACAGCCTTCCTCAAATCGGATAAGCAGTTCTTGAGATTAGCGCGTTCAAACAAACCGTGTCTCTTTATAATATTAATATAAATATCTTAATTCCAGGACTTCATAAACCGTCGTTTCCTTACGGAGTTTGGTAACATGGCGTTGGTAGAGGAGAGGGATAGTTTAGAGGGAGGTGATGTGAATGTACGTCTGCCTGGAGTCCGTGCCGGGGATATGGCCGATCGGAAACTTAAACCTGAGGTATAACATGGAACTTATTATATTATAACTATTTATTTATCACTAGCAACTCACCCTGGATTCGCTCGGGTTCGTCCATAGTGAAAAACAAAATAAAACTATCCCACGGGACGACATTTTTCCGGGATAAAAAGTAACCTATGTGCTATTCCAGACTGTAATCTATATCTGTGCCAACTTTCATTCAATCCGTTCCAGCTGAACGGATTCTGGCGTGATTGAATAAGTAATAAACATCCAAACTTTTGCATTTATAATATTAATGGGATAATAGATGGGGAAATGGGGAAAGTTCGAATGTATATATTTTGATTGTTGAATCAAATTATACTTTATTCAAATATACTTCAAACAGACATTACTTTTTACATTTTCAAAGATTAAATTAAAAGTCAGTATGTAAGTCCGTGTGGAATCTACCACCGGCTCGGAAAGCAGTTCTGCTGAGAAGTGCCGTAGAGAAACTCAACAGGTGCTCTTTTTAAATATAATATTAATTTACAATATTGTAATAAAATAATTATGCATTTATCCTATGTGAGACCCAATCAGAAAGAGCAAAGTACTCGAGGACATTTTTTTGATACTAAATTTTATACCTTCTACAAAAGCACAGACACTTGATTAATTATTAAAATTATAACATAATATATGTAAATATATTTTCAGGTGCGCGTCCATTGTGTGAGATTTTCACCAACTGGCGAGAGCTTCGCGGTCGCGGCTACTGAGGGACTGTTGATTTACAGTCAAAATGCCGGCTTTGATGGTACTTTTAGGTATGTTAATTTATTTTTAATACTTGGGCGAACGAGTTTTCCTTTGTGTTTTTCGGAAATTTTATAAAAATTGCGTTTTTCAGAAAATACACCTTATATCAAACTTAATACATTATATATAATTCTTATCCTTAAGGAATTATTTCAGGGATAAAAACTATCCTATGTCCTTCCCAGGGTCTGAAACTGTCTTCATACCAAATTTCATCTAAGTAAGTTTAGCGGATTTTTAGTTTATCCATTACAAATAAATATGTAAAATAAAACATTTTTTCATTCTATAATATAAATATAGATAGATATAATAATGTTCAACATTATAGATAATACTATAATATGTTGGAACATTAACACACAGCAGCATCTAGTTCCATGGTAAGCTACGAGGCTTGTGTTATGGATACACTACACACATATAACTTTAAATACACATAATATGGTATGTATATGTATATTATAAATATATACACCCATGACTGGCATAACATAACATAACATGACATAACTTTCGTGCTCATCACACAAATGAAGCCCCAGCGGGACTGGAACCCGCGACCACTGGCACAACAACTAGGGTCGCTACAAACTGAGCCAAATTGTTGTTACTATTAATATATATATAAAGGTACGATTTAATGGTTAGTATGAAATTTAAATCTTTGAATTTCTCGACTTTTCTGTACTATAATATGCATGTATTATACATATAAGCCTTTCTCTTGAATCACTCAATCTATTAAAAAAAACGCATCAAAATCCGTTGCGTACTTTTAAAGATCTAAGCATACATATGGACAGACAGACAGCGGGGAGCGACTCTGTTTTATATGTAGTGATGTATGTATGTATGTATATTCCAGACCATTCAACCTCACCATATCATCGACACCACTAGCAGTGTCCCAGTGTCTGAAGCGCGGCGAGTGGGGCGCGGCGCTGGTGCATGCCCTACAGTTGAATGAGCATACCATCATACAGCAGTGTGTGGAGGTTGTGCCGCCTGCTGATAGTGAGTATTTGGGGGAGGGAGTCGGTATAGGGGAGAGGGAGTGTTGGGGGGTGGGAGTTTGAGGTTAAGTATAGGGAGTGAGTGAGTGTAAGGGTGAGTGAAGGTTTCACAACTGATGAGAAGTTATCGATATCATAAGAAATGTTAAGTAAAAAAAAGTTATTTGATCCTAACAGTTAATTGGTTGTCATTCATACTTGATTATGTAAATAATTATTTTTTAAATATAATTCTAATTCTTTTTTTCCTGATAACATAATTAGATAAGAAAGAGGCAGAGTTTGCTTGTTTGGACCCGCTAATCTCAGGAACTATTATACCGATTTGATAAATTCTTTTTGCATCAGACAGTCCATTTTTTTGAGGAAGGCTATAGGCTATATATCATATAGTATATAGTCTTTCTATTCCATACTAATCGTTAAAGCGTACCTACGGACGAATATGAGTCGCTAGTATAACATAATTTTAATCAAATATCTGCGTTAATCTCTGAAAATATTATCACAAACCTATCAAATATATTACATAATATTTTTATTCCTTTCAGTCCAATTAACAGTGTCCAGTCTCGAAGAAGAATACGCACAACGTCTTCTCAACTCCATAGCACGTCTTCTAGAAGACAGCCGGCATTTAGAACATTTGCTTATTTGGGTGAAACACATTGTGACAAACAAACAGAAATTTCCCCAAAGCGTGCTTTTGTCTTTGGAGAAAGTGTTGACGGTGAAATATTCTCAATTGAGTAAAATGTAAGTGTTTATTTAATCAAGTATATCTTTGAAATTATACTTCTTTTGGCACGTTTAGAAAAAAATTATGAGGGTAAAATTTTTACAGCGACAGCCAAAAAGCGACCTGATGAAGTTAGCTGCATTCCTTTTACAAACAACAACAAAACAAATCTGTAGCTATTTTCGTTCTGTTACGCCAAAGATTTATAACTTCTTACGTGCGTAAATAAGTACACACACACGTTTTTATTATATTTTTAACAGAAATATAAATATAGATAATTAATTAAAAAAGTGGTAAAGGTTTCTGGGTTTGAGGGGAAAAAATAATAGACTTGATTTGTACTATTCTAAATGGAAAACTTGTATGTGTATGTATGTGTGTATATTTGTTACTTCTTTACACCGAAATGGCTGGATGGATTTGGATGTTTCGTACATGTATAAACTATGACCTGGAGTGACATATAGGTATCTAGCGATGGACCTGGGTAAGGTGAGGATAAGTTACTACTTTCTACTATTACGTATATATGGTATTCAGCCTTTTTTAACGTCCCACTGCTGGGCACGGGCGTCTGAGAATAGGACATAAAATATTTTTCATACCCCTAAGTGAAACGAAATTTTTTCTTTTAATTTTTTTGTAATTTGGCATTAAAATACATACAAATCTAAATTTTCACCCTTCTACCACCAACCCCTATTTTTTATTAGCAGTATAGCAGTATTAGTACTTATATTATTTTATACTCTCAGAAATCTACTTAAATAACCGTTAAAACGTAACGACGAAGCGCCAACGGCGAGCGAGGGTGAGCCGCTAGTTTTATGTAAAATACTCTATTACGTCTTAACCTTTAATATAGATTTCTCAGAGATGAGATATTTTCCCGCAGTAAAAAGTGTCCTATATGTTGACTCGGATAACCAGCTATCATCATACCAAATTCCATCAAAATCTCCAGTGGTTTACGGTATACGTTCTCAGACAGACAGACAAAAATTCTAAAAAAACTATAGATTCGGCCTCTGTATCGATAATAATGTCTATTTCAATAAGATTTTCCAAAAAAATATTTAATGTATAAATTCGACTCAGAATTCTACTATATGTATAGTATATGTATAGTTTAATATTAACAAATTGGGTTATATTACATAAAGCATCACATGCTCTTATCACTGATAAGGTCAAGTGTATGATAACGGCTCGAGATGAGACCGATAACGTGTGGAAATCTTTTCAAGTCAAACATATGGTTTTCTAGTTTTATCAGCCATGAAATAATGATAAATTGCATTTTTTATGAGACACATTTGGATTTTATAACACTTATATTTTTTCACTTATAAAGTTTAAAAGGGAAAAACCTATCACATACTTTAAAAAAAAACTCATTTAATTCTTTTTTAGGTAATTTATCTGTATACTAAATATCATCTAAATCTCTCCAGCCATTTCAGCGTAGATAAGTAACACATATACACAAACTTTCATTAATAGTGTAATTATAACATAAATGTTTATATTTGACGACACGTTTGGCTCAGTTTGTAGTTGGTCGCGAGTACGTGTCCCGCTGGGGGCATTCATTTGTGTGATGAGCACGAATGTTTGTACTCCAGTCATGGATGTTTATATTCATAATATGTATGTATTTAAAGTTATATATGTGTAGTGTATCAACTGTCTGGTATCCATAACACAAGACTCGTAGATTGCTATGGAACTAGATGCTGCTATGTGTTAATGTCCCAACATATTTATTATTTCAGATGTGATTTCAACAAATACACAATACGTTGTATCAAAGCAGTGAGCGCGATTACTCCTAAACAAGAGGACGTGGATATGCACAGTGACCAGTCCAGCGGTCGCGGGACGTTCTCCGACTCGGATAGTGAATGATCAATAAATATATATAAAATAATGTATTTTTGTTTGTTTTATTTCCTTTTGTTACTGGGGGAAATAGAGTGGTGAAATATATTTATACACACTACTACAGAAATATAAAATTGAAGAGTCTGTTTGTATTGTCAAAATAACAGCTTTTTAGTAAATATAAGAAAAACACAATTTTTTAATTTTATGTCTGTTTGTTTGTTCTGTTTAATCTCCGAAGCGGCTGGACTGATATTGACGGGACTTTAACTGGCAGATAGCTGATGTTATAAGGAGTAAATTAGGCTAGTTTTATTTAAAAGGAATTAGAGTTCCGCTCAAAAAGTTAAAACGTACCTAGGGATGCTTCCGAACGATGCGAGGGTAAACCGCTAGTCTTGGATTAAAAATGTTTGTTTTTCGTTTTAGCTGTTTTTTTTGATATTACAGTTTTTATAGTATTAAAATTTAAAGTGTTTAACATAAAGAATTATTATTATTCTGATTTACAATCGTTGAAAATATATTAAGGCAGTGGTAGCCCAGTGGTGGCGCGCTCGCTTGGAAACTGAGTGAAGCAGGTTCAAATCCTGGGTCTCGCACCTCTGACATTTTCATGTGCGAATCATTTCCAACATGATTACCACTAGTGTGTAGTTTAGACTACTACTAGCAGTGAGACGTTAAAAAGGGCTGAATACAAACCAAATTTTAATATACAAATTAACAAAACTGTTGAGAAATAGTCTATGACGAATAAAAAAAATCAATAAATATACGTAATAACTTACAATGAAATATACATAAAATAACCATATTTTACAAATTTCGTATCCAATTTTACGATCTGGCAGCATTGCTTATTAGGTTACCAAAAGAGCACTTTTAAAATAACGTTTTAAACCGACCTTTATTTTAAATTCTATTTAAAAAACGCCACTTTAGTTTTTGTGACGCTGTTACCTAAGTCGTGAGTCACGCCTTAACATTGCTCAATGACGATACTATTATAAAACTATTGCAAATTTTTATGTTTTGTTTAGTTAGTGTTAGTGAATATTACTTCTTACGTCGAAGGTCACAGGATCCATTCCTGCACAAATACTTAATTGACCTATAAAACTGTACCTATGAATTTTTTTGGTAATCTTTAACAATTTTTTGCGTAATCGTTTTTTTAGTACTATTTTTTTTTATTTATTTATAACACTTTATTGCACAAGAAAATAGTGCATTAACATAAAAATAAATACAATTAAAGACATGTGCAAAGGCGGCCTTATCACTAAAAGTGATCTCTTACAGGCAACGGGATAGTAAAGGATTTAAGAAAATAAGTGAGCGGAAAGGTGCATAAAGTGCAAACTACTGCGTAGTGCGTACTATTGTAGTTTAATTAAAATAATTTGGAAGATGTAACGGAAAATACCAATGGGTAAACGTTTTTGTTTACATAACATCTACGACGTTAACAATTTAGTCTGTGACGTGAATTTGTTTGTTGTACAGCATTCATTTATATATGTAGCAATATACTCTATGGCATTCATGCAGCAAATCAACCCATTGAATAAAACGCGAAAAATCCGTAAAAAATGACGATTTTCAATGTCAAATAACATACGTATTCGTTAGTAATATAGTAATAACAAAGTAATAAATTTGGAACAAAACGAGAAATAACACTGAAATTTAACTTTAGGTTTTTTTCTTAATAAAAATTCTATTCAGGCTTGCTATATAGTTAGTTGTACAATTTAAAAAATATTTAATAAGCAAATAAAGAAAAGCATCCGAAACGCCGAGAAATAAATAAAATGGGGGAAAAAATAGTTCTTAAAAATAGTTTTATTTCACTAACGTTTACTTTAAAAATCCATTGAATCGTCTGCTTTTAGACGTGATGTTGTTTGACGGCTGTTAATACCACAACCCATGGACAATATCAAAACCTTATCAAAATATCAATATAATATATTGATACGTTTAAGAAATTCTGATTGATGATATATACCTATCCAAAGCCAAATTCATTTTATTATAACGTCATTTCATATGAATTTACCTTATAGTTAGACACACACGTTTAATAATCAGTTCGATGAAATTCAAATAATAAGTGCTATATGTACCTATATTGGTTGTGAGAAACCAATGTGAACAAATGAACATTGATTATTGTAACAGATTTTACTTGAGTCACTTAATGTTTCCGGGTAAAGCATAGTATTCAGCCCTTTTTAACGTTCCACTGCTGGGCACAAGCCTCCCTTCAATACGACGAGATTCAATACTTCAGATATCTTTCGAAAACTTCCTAGGTTCTCTAAAAGCTTATTCTTTATCGTAAGACAAGTGATGATAATGTTAAGGATAATTCGCACTTGAAAATATCAGAGTTGCGAGACCCGGGATTTGAACCGGCTTCACTCGGTCTCCCAAGTAAACGCGTTGCCACTGGGATACCACTGCCTTGATAAACAGTAGGTAACCTAATATTTTCTTAGAATTCAAAAAATTGAAAAATGGCACCAAAGTACCTTACAATATTTTTTAACTTTAAACATTTTTATTTTATTTAAAAAAATATTGTAAGGTACATTGGTGTCATCTTTCAATTTTTTGAATTCATTTTGTTATTTGTGGGTAGGCTGTCTGTAACAACTATATAATACCTTAGAGACATCTAACACCTCAGTCTCTCCCGTGACCGTGATTGCTGTAAAGCATTCGAAACGCCGGGAACCAAAAATCAAAATAAATTCGCGAAAAAGTCGGAAAAGATAGTTTTATTTAGAAGTTAACCTATTTAACTCTGCTGCTTATAACCTAATTATAATCTATAAGCTTATAATCTCTTTGTAAAAGTCAGGCTTAACCGAATTCGTAAAAGGTGAAGGTACGCAATTCAAGTATAGAGTACTCATTTTATTTTGTGTTGTCTTATATCTTCGCCATTTGACAATTGATTTTTATTAGTTTTTTTTATAAAAGACTATGTTAAGAGTCATATTTTCAAATTCTCATAATTTCAAATTCATTATATTCATGAAATATCCACTTCCAAGGGAATAATAACTAGATAAATTAGGAAGATTAATTATATTATGTTATTATAAGTTTGTTTTTTTTAGCTTAAAAGATATTATATTTTATACATTATTTTATCGTGTTTCTATTAAAGCGGCTTATTATTTATTAAATTCTATTTATCACGGCACTGACGTCTCTACTTTTCTATATGACCGGAACAACTTAAACGTCTCGTATTTTATATAAACCCACGCCATATTTTCATTGGCCAAGTTTCCATTAAATATATTTTATTATAATGAATTGAATATTTAACTTTTAACTAAAAGCATTCAACAATTATTTTTTTTAGGGCAATCTCACCTCATTAAGTATTAAATAAGCTTTAAATACATCAATATTATTATAAAATAATCTTCGAAACAAAGATATGTTTAAAAATAGTTTGGGACATAAAATTGTTATTGTTAAATAAAAATCAAATTGTCTAACCAGCCAAAACTAAAAAGCTGTGACATAATAGTTAAAGCAGCCGGAGACACAATGAATACCTTAGACTCACAGTAAGTTTGTGTTTCCAAAGAAAATCCGTTTTTCTTTTTTTTTTCTTTTAAATTAATGTATAATTTTGTGGGTAGGCACTGTTTGTAATAGCTATAATAATTAATTCCTATGAGACATATAAAACCTTAGTCGGTATATAATAGTAGTCTATGGTCTCGCCCGTGACCATAATAATTACTGTATACTGTATAATAATTATATAGCATTCGAAACGTTGGGAACCAAAAATCAAAATAAATCTGTGAAAAAACGAAGTGAGGCTATGACACCAGAAAACCAATAGGAAAGCATTGAATTTGTATGAAATATCATACTCTTAATATAGGTATATTATTGTTTCTAAGGTCCAGACTATGGTTTAGGTCTTATGTAAGCTGATAGTATTGTATAATATTCTAATGACGCCATTATTCCTAGAAATCGTTGACGTAACTGCAAACGTGCCAGGATTTATAGCTATCAGCCAGCCTAATAAGAAATTTATTTTCTGAATTATAGAGTTTATTTTCATTTGGCAGATAGTTTAAAACTATAGATTTTATCGTGACTTTACTCATTAGTTAAATTCTTAATATTTTTTTGCTTCCATGATGTATTTATTATGAAATGATTTTTTTTTTATTAAAAAGAAAAATTATTCTCAAGAGTCGCTTGCACTAAATCCTTAATTTGATAGAATGTTAAGTATCTAAACGTCTAGTTGTTAAAAGTTTACAAAACTTATTTATAACCCAAGAATTTCAAATCGAATTAGAAATCTTGCAACGAGTTGGCGTTTTTCTAACCGAGTCTTGATAGATTAGCACCTAATTTAATTTTCACGTGATTTACTCATATGTGTATTTTGTACATTTAACATTATTGACATGGGTTCAGACTCTAAACTTTAGAAGTACATTGATTATAATTATAAGAAGGCTTACGCTTTAGTTGTAGGCTTTCATTTGAGATTGAAAACTCTAATGATTTTAATTCAGTAGCTTAATTTAAATATTTAGTAGCTTAATTTCAAAAGCCTTGTTTATTCGAGTTGAAATAACTATAGTATTAAATATAATACTAACCGTAAAGATAATTGTTAGCTAGCAATGCATAATTTATGTAAAATTTTGTACTATTAAAAACTTTTTGACTATGATTTTTAATAGTTTTTGTTGACAATATACCGTCTTTAAAAGCATTTTAGATAATATTGGGATTATTGGAATATATTATTATTGGAAGATTTTCGGAAGACAGGTGAAGTCCGGCAACCTGCACTTGGCCAGCGTGGTGGACTATGAACTGATCCCACCGTAATGATGGGAGGCCCGTGCCCAGCAGTGGGACATTAAAAAGGGCTAAATACAATTCCTCCTCTTACAAGAATTATATAATATCTATTTTAGTTTATAAACAATCGTACAGACAGATATTATTACTTATACTTAAAGTTTAGCTGGCAAGTATCCAAACATATCCTTGCCATTCATCGTTACAAAATAGGTTTTTGTAGTTTTATGTTTAACGAGGTTCGTAAACAAACGTATTACATATTTACAAAATAAATCTTAAACTAGTTCGAACTAGCAGTACCCGCGGCTTCCCCCGCGTTCAAACTTCCAATATAAACATCAGTTTAATAAATTATTACATTAGTATGGAAGTCTGCCCGATTTGTTGGCATTTATGACTACTGCTCCGCTCTCTTGGGAGTAGTATGATGATATATAGCATATAGCCTTCCTCAATAAAGGGGCTATGAGATTAGAGCGTTGAAACAAACAAACTCTGTTTCTTTATAATTTTAGTAAATATACTTATAGATTGTAGAGGGAACGTGTACATAAAATATTTTATTAATCCCTCCACGACCGCGGACACGCCGGCGTTACAGTAAACAATAGATTTCTTAGAAATTTACCTAGAGGTGTTAAGTTTTCTTTTTAAATATTCAGTAAAATACTTCTAATAATCAAATTCTTATTATGTAATGAGTTGAGAATACAAAATATTAAAAAAAAGTGTTTTAAAACTTTACTAAAAAATAAACTTATCGAAAACCTTACTTTTACATAAAGCGCACTTGGCTTTTATAAAATCTCAAATACTTTTAGCTGTGGCAATCTAGCTGACTCTTTATTTCTACTAATGTGTTTATTATAAATACACATTATTACATCTAACACGAGAACTGTAAATCATGACAATTAACTTCAATTCATTTCAAAATTCAAATATTTACTGAAAACAATTTTCACAACAAAATACTCAACGTTATACTCAGTTCTATGATGATTTGAATAAAAAATCTAAAAACATTCACTGATAAATCACGAAATATCAGGTTTAAAGGTACAACCTTGCAATTTGATAGGTAGAGTTTATTTTAAATAAAACCACTTGCTTTGGTTTTTTTTGCGGATTCATTTTGATTTTTAGTTCTCGATGAAAATCGAAAAGATAGTTTAGTGTCAAATATTCACGTCCGTAAACTCTGCTCAAATGGCACTCTTTGAAGCCACAAGAAAATTGATTGAAGAAAGTACCTATATAATATATCGAAGTACTAATAATGTTAGACTTTATTTTATTTTTTGGAAATTACACTTCTAAAGGGGAAAAATGGGCTGGAGGCTTGTATGGAAAATCGTCATTTATAAACTACGTGTGCATAACCGCAAGCAAATGCTAGTTTTATTAAAATATACAAATCAATAATAATTATTAGTCTCTATAATTATGGTATTATTATTACTTCTGCTTACTTTATAATATTAACATATCACAGGTTCAATAATAATATGGGCTTATGAGAACGTGATAACTGTTTTGCCTATCAAATAAATTGCAAGAGGATAAAAAAATATAATTATACTCGTACAGTGGAATTGAGAACCTCCTTTTTCAAGTGAAACTCCTTTAGAATAGTTGTGATTTGAAACTTGATGAAATGAAAATGCGACACGAGAAAGAGTCAAACACATAAATATATTGCTTTATGTGGGTGAGATGATCGTAATATACCGACCTAATATGATTTATTTAATTATTGATTTGTTTGTATTTAATTGCGATATTTGCCAAAGAAATTTTACTTCAACCGCGCGTCAAGGTTACACGCGCCCATTTTTTTTGAAGTCAGTTAAAAATATATCTTGAACTTTATTTTATTATCGGCCACATCAGATAAGATACCTAATTTATCTCACTATATAATGTGTTTCTTTTTAAGCTCGATAAAGTTAGTAAGAAAATATTGCCAGCAAACAAAAATTTATAAAAATTAAATTCATAAGTCTTAGAGGTAAAATTTATCAAACAAATAAAAAATAACAGTAGAGTTTTACAAAAAGCGCTTAAAACTTTTCCTTTACACGAGTCATTAAATAGGCTTTAAGCTATTTGAAACAAAAATAAAATAGATGGAATAAAACAAGATTTATTTTCGCTAATTCTTTTGTTTACAAGATTACTTTAACCAACAAGAAATTTAAAAACAACATTCAAACTCTACAATTTGACTTTGAAAATATTTATTTACTTAATGAATTTTTGATGTGAAAAAGAAAACACATTTATATCCACCATTTAACCTTTATTAACAGTCATGCTAGTTCCCGGGCGTAGTATAAAACTGACGCTATTATGTGACTTCGTCCATGCACCTAATTTGTTTCTCAAATACAAGGCGCTAGCGAAGCATAATACTAAGGCCACACCTAATATCGCCCACCGCACTATCTCTACAATTGCTAGCAGGTTGTGTGCAGATTGGAGTTCTTCTCGAAGTTCTTTATTTATTTCTGCACCCTAAAATAATGTAAACAACTTTATCAATCTAAATGAAATAAAAACAAATTAAGAAAAAACTTTATGACTTTATAAATATATTAATTTAACTATTACGACGACACGTTTGGTTCAGTTTGTAGTGACGCTACTTGCTGTGCCAGCGGTCGGGGGTTCGAGTCCCGCTGGGGGCCTTCATTTGTGTGATCGGCACGAATGTTTGCACTTCAGACATAGGTATTTATATCTATAATATGTATGTATTTAAAGTTATATATGTGTAGTGTATGGACTATCTGGTATCCATAACACAAGCCTCGTAGCTTACCATGGAACTAGATATTGCTGTGTGGTAATGTCCCACCATATTTATTTATTTATTATTAAATGAGTACATAAATAATAAAGTTTTGCGTATAAGTAGTTATGTGCACTTCTTGTTTGGGTTGATATCACTTTATAAGGCAATGATTTAGTGACAATAAACTCTTTAAGTTTTATTAATAAGAATAAAGAACCCAATAGGTATTGCTGTAGCAATATAAAAATGACATCATGAATTAAATTACCTCTTCAACCCACAGGAAAGGAAATAATCCTGTCTCTACATTTTCTAACTGTGGTACTCCTTTTATGTTCCGTAGCTCTATATTGAACTGCAAACGTTGTACACCTTTTATCACAACACCAGTTTTCTGCAACAAAATAAGAATTTGATTACTCAATGAAACTGTAAAGAAAAATATAAGACCTTTGATCATTCTAAATGAATATTTTACTAAGTATTATCAGGTTTATATTGATACTTGATAGTATAACTCGATAGCTGAATCCGCGATTATACTTCATACAATTGTATCAAATATGCTTAACTGTGTTATAGGTATATGTTACAATCAGAACTCTTTTGTGGTCAAAACTACTTTTGACTGACAAAAGCAGTGAAAATAGTTTTGACTGCAGGCGTTAGTCAATAGCAGTTTTGACACATTGGTCAGAAGTCTTATCTTATTTTATCATCGGTCATCAGTTCTTAACTTTTTAAGAAGGCCTGTAGTAAAAATTTCTTTTGACCAACCTTTTTAGCCAAAAGCAGTTTTCACCAAAAAATAGTTTTGACTATGACATATATATTTTGTCACAAATAACTTAAAAAAAAACGTGTGTGTGTACTAACAACACACGTAAGAAGTTTTACTTCATTGACGTAACAGTACAAAAATAGCTAAAGATTTCATCCCGTCGTATGTCACAACTCTCTGTTTGTAAAAGGAATGCAGCTAACTTAATCATATCGTTTTCAGCTAACTTCATCATGTTGCTTTTTTGCTGTCGGTGCGCGCGCATCGTAAAAATTTTACTCTCATATTTTTTTCCAAACGTGCCAAAAGAAGTATTATTTCAAAAATTAGATCATTTCCGTAGTTTACAACTCATTCATTTGAATTTAGAATATTAGAACATATAGATGAAGTTTTAATAAGAAATATTTCTTGCGAATGCAATGCGCAGTATTCCTTCATATGTAACTTTCGTATATTAATCGAGAAATTAATATGAAGTTTTATAGAACAGAAGTCAAGAAGTCATTAACTGGTGAATCTTGCAATCTGAAACTTTATCTCGGGAGAATAATTAACTCAGAACAGTTATGATAGGAGTAAATGGTAATTTATCAAAGCATCTGTTCTCGAAATCTAAAATCTTTATTCAATATTGTTATCAGAAATGCGCTTATTCTTTATCTAAATTTCTATCACCAGTTAGAGAAAATGTAAAGTATCTACTCTTCAACGATTCTTAGATTGTTTTTTGCTTAATTAAATGTTTTACAATAGATATGTAAAGGGTCCTTCGTTTCAAAACTCAAAGAAAATTTTTATTCAAAACAATAAATGAATAGATTTCATTTCCATTGAAGCGTGAACAATTCATCTAAATGAAAAAAAAAACTAGAAAAATTACTTACAGGTAACAGCTTTATACTATAATTTTAAAAGAACGGTTTTAGATCTAGGTAGCGTTGGAGTTAAGTTACAATATGGTGACGCGAGTAGTTGCTTAAAATTGCAAATTTAGAAAATATGATACACTAAACTGTACAAATTAAGCGAATTAGAACTCTATGACTTTTCAAAACTCAGATTCTACTCAGAAATTGCATTGACTGAAGTTATGTCTATCGTTATAGTTTCGTAAATAGGTATATAACTTAGTATAAAAATGTTAAATATTGTAAGATATGTTTATAATTAAGTACTAGCGACTCACCCTCTTTTCTCTCGGGTTTTTCCCTAGGTACGTTTGACGCTTAGTTTGGAATACATAGATTATATATACATTATACATGGTACAGGTATGATGAGCTTTTTATTCCTTACTTGAGAAATGATTGATCTCCATAAAAACTTCCACCCCTCTTTTTCCCCCCTTAAAAGATGATTTCCGGGATCCTTTGTCCTTCTCAGGCTATCCTACTACTTCTATACTAAATTTCATCTGAATCGGTTCAGCGGATTGAGTGTGAAAAAGTAACAGACAGACAGACTCGCATTTATAATATTATTAATAGTTTGATTAAATAATGCTCTAAAGCGCTTATATGTAATACGTTGATACATAAAACTGTAGATAAACCACGTGTTGAACAAAGAAAAAAGTGAAAAGTGAGTTTCTAAAATATTAATGTTTTTTTTTTAAATTAATATTTTTGGTAACATTTAAAAATAAAATGTAATAGTAAATGCTTTTCATACTTACAGTTTCAAGGTACACGAAACTACTATGTTTTTCAGGATCAGGTTTGATTCCTTCTTCAATATATTCGAGGAGTTCTTCAGAAGCGAGGTAGAAATGTGGCAGTGAAACGATTGCGGGTGCGCCTTTACATGGACTTAAGTTTAATACACCCATCACGAGACAACCGTCGTGGTTGGCACTCCAGTTCCTGCAATAATAATAATTTGGCTTAAAGATAATTTGAGGTTTTTCATTCATCTCATCATTCATCCTTCATTCTCATCATCTTTCATCATTCATCATCATTTCATTTCATTATATAAGCCCCTCGCCTAAGTAGGACGCGTTCTAAAGTGATTTCTTGCAAAAATAAATAAATAAATATGTTGGGACATTAACACAGCACCATCTAGTTCCATGGTAAGCTACGAGGCTTTTGTTATAGATACCAGATAGTTGATACACTACGCGTATATAACTTTAAATACATACATACGATAAATAACCAACTGGAAACTTTTGATATATGGGGATAAAAACATGGCTAATTTATGCGCCGTGTCATCCAAATCCGCCGCACGATTCACGCAAGATTTAAAAACATCTTCACAAAATTAAAAAAGTATGACTGACTATAATATTCTAACCTCATAAAAATATATACTCTATAATTTTATTTTAAATATATTTTTTCCCTCTATAAATTAATTAAAAAAGGAAGATTTACTCATTTATTAATAAATTTTGCTTAATTGAAAGGCTTTTAGCAAGCTACATGCTTCCTTAATTTAAAGTTTATTGAAAATGACATGAACCTTTTTACGTAGTACCATATTCCACATTTTCGTACAAAATACCTTTTTCTAATTTTTATCTGCTTTGAATTAAGATAAAATGTAATTTTGATGCCAATTTCCGGACTTTCACAGAAGGTCTTAGAAGAAAAAAGAAACTTTACAGACACAAGTTTCAGAATATTTTTCAAGTAACTTATATTAATTTGGTATTTCTAATATTCAGCTACTTTGATTGGATTATTAGGATTAGAAAAGACGATAATGTTGACCATTATTGTTGTACTAAATATCATATAGTTAGTATTCTCGTCTATTATTCGTCCTCACTTTCCTAAGACTCCCTTTACTCTCAAAAGTCAAGGAGAATTTAAAAAGTAAAACTAAAATTAGATAAAAAGTAAAACGCCTGTATATGTTTATACGTCACGTTACAAGCGTGTAAAATTTTATTATGATAGATTAAGGCGTTACAGTGTCAAGGAACAAACAAACGTGAGCAAATTCCTTTTATACACGTTTTTATCTTCTTCTATACTTATACATAAATAAACATGAATGTTCGTATGTTTGTCCTCTATACATTCCTAAACCATTGGTCCGATTCTAATGAAACTCTGGTGGCTTATCTTGTACACGCCTGCAAAAATTCGTGGTGCAAAAAAAATCCTTTGATGTTTTTCTTTTATGCGTTCCTAAACTATTCAAACTTAAAGGGTACAAGTGAGGGTAAGTCGCTAGTATTGATACACATTACTCTGACATTTAATAAATTTCACATATTTCTCTTCACTTTTGTAATCCAATCCATTTAGAAAGTAACAGATAATAATAGATATAGTGAGGTTCAGGTGTTTTCTTCTAAAATAGCAACATGGCTATCTTCATTTTTTAAAAGCTTCTAGCGATAACAGTATTTCATGAGTAAAATATGACCTTGCTTAATAGGCTTTAAACGATATTATTTATTTTTACGGGTACCGAAGTCAAATCTTTGTTTTTTTAGATCTAAAGCGTTACAATGTATTATAACTGTTAAGACAATCAATCATAAAATCATAAACATCAATATAGTCCTCCGATACTGACAACATCATACTGACAACATCATAACAGGTTTTTAAGCCTGAAAATTAGTAGCACAATGATAATTTAATCTATTTATCGTATTACTGTTAGGCATGGCAATGCTTGCCACAATATACACATAATATTGCCATGCATGGTATGGTGCATGACAGCAACGACACAAGTCGAAATAAGTAATGGTCTATCAGACATTCAAGTTTTCTAATCATATTTTTCCTTTACCGTGTTAGCATGTGGTAATCCAGAAATCTCAGTTATTCTCAACCCGTTTCATTATGTTTACAGACTAAGCGAGTTCCCAGTGGTCTATATTACCATGAACTAGGCTATCACTGTAAATCTGAAAGTATTATTTCACACAATGCCCCGAAAATTGGGAATAATAGCTAGGATCTGTTGTGGAACATAGAATTACATCTCTCCGCATATAAAATAGAGTCACTTACGATCTGTACGTATGTACATGCTAATCTCGAGAACTACTAAACAAATCTAGATGCGGTTTTTGCTTTTGTGATCTGCATTTGAAGTGTGAACGGCAGAAAAAACGCCACTTAGTTGCAAAAACCGATGTTCACTGAAAGAATCTTAATTTAAAATCTGCATTATTTATATTATATGTATTTTTAAAAAGTTCGTTTCATCTACGTAACGTTTAGATGACTATTTGAACTACTAAATTTTAATCCTTACAAAAATAAATTATTTCAAAATAACAGCAGTGTTAATATTATAAAATATTCTGAATTTTCTTAAAGGGGTAAAAAGGGATGGCGAAAGGTTGCATGGGAAATACAATTTTACGGTTGTTATATAAAAATCCAACGAATCTATCGGAGACTGCTAATATTAAAAAAAATACATACAAATAATAATAATTACATATATAGTAAACAAAGTAGTACTTACTTTTTACAGAAACATTTATTATCAGGGTTGGCGCTCTTCGAAGAAAAAAGCATATTATCTATTTCGTAATAGTAGGTGCTCATGTTATAAATTTCCCGCTTTTCTTTCAGAGTTGCAAACACGGATCTGTGAACAATGATTTACACAATCAATCAATTGTTCTAAGAAAAGGTCCTTGGAAAAGGACTCAGTAATAAATTAAATTTATATCAAGCAATGTTGCTTTACATTATCAGTTTTATAAGAAAAGAAAAAAAATTTTTTTTTGCGCTGGAAACCTTCGCAGGCGTATACAGCACAAACAATGAGAGTTTCATCATAATCTGATCATTGGTTTAGAAATGCATAGAGGACAATATGCGAACATTCATTTTTATGTGAGATGAAAGATGAAGATAACGAATAAATTATTACTATGACTTTATCAAAATATTTTTTTTTAACTAGTGAGTCACCCTCGCTCGGCTCGGGTTCGTCTCTACTTACGTTTTACCGTTTAGTATAGATTTCTCAGAGATGAGATATTTTCTCGCAGTAAAAAATATTCTATGTGTTGACCCGGATAACCAGCTATCATCATACCAAATTTTATCAAAATCCCTCTAGTGATTATTCGTGGTGCGGTCACTGACTGACAGACAGACAAAAATTTAAAAAACGATAGATTCGGCTTCTGTTTCTATAATAATGACTATTTCAATAAGATTTTCCAAAAAAATATTTAATGTACAGATTCGACTCTGTTAAAATTCTATTATATGTATAACAGTCAAAATCTTTTTACCTACTGTATTTCATTATAAAAGTAGGTTTTTAGGTGAGTTTATTTCCTTTATGAAACAAAAGGGAACGTAGAATTAGGCAGTACAAATAAAGATATCTCACATTAACATATTAAAGTTAACTAAAAACTCGTATTTACGTAACTAGGGACAAACCCGAGCGGAGCGAGGGTGAGCCGCTAGTGCAATATAATATTACATTAAATATATTATGTATGTATTAATTACATGCTAGAAGTGTAATCAACTCGTCTGTGACATTCACCATTTGCCATTATCAATATATGTTATCGATACAGAGGCGAATCTATAGCTTTTAGAATTTTTGTCTGTCTGTCTGTTACTGCAATAAAAAAAATCACTGGATGGATTTTGATGAAATTTGGTATGGTGATAGCTGGTCATGTTGACTAGCTATCACCATATATAGGACACTTTTACCCTGGGAAAATATCTCATTTTTAAGAAAAAATACAAAAACTTCAATGTAAGAGTATACTAATATTATTTAAAACCTAAGAATTTAGTTTTTGGTCATCTAAACGCGGGCGGAGCGGCGGGCAATGCTAGTCTACTATAATATATGGATTTTGTAATTTAGGTCTTTATCACTTAAAAACATTATTTATATTGCTTATTTATTATTATTATTATTTACTAAGCTATAATTATAATGTTACTTGAACAAACCTGCATGTCTCTGGTTCGAAAGTGTATAACCTTTTAGGTGGATTTCCTTCGAAGGGCGGAAATATTGAGCCATCTGTGCCATTTATCTGGCCACAATAGTCATCTCCCCATTGTTTCATGATACGCTCTCCTTTATAAGCAACTATATTACCCAGTTTATTTATATCCTGCACGCCCATGTTAACGTCGTACGGCCCGGTCTCCGTTGTGTTGAGCTGGAAATGGATGATTTATATGGAAATGTCTTAGATATAAGCCATGTTTGTAATTAAAGTTCGTATGTGATGCTGTAATTTTTGAGTATAGTTTGTATAGGCTTGTATCTATCGAATATTATAATAGTTTGTGTATGTGTGTGCTAACAGATTTAAATAAATAAATATGTTGGGACATTAACACACAGCACCATCTAGCTCCATCGTAAGCTACGAGGCCTGTGTTATGGATACCAGGTAGTTGATACATTACACATATATAACTAAAAATACATACATATTATAAATATAAACGTCCATGACTGGAGTATAAACATTCGTGCTTATCGCACAAATTAATGCCCTCAGCGGGATTCAAATCCGCGACCGCTGTCACAGCAAGTAGGGTCACTACAAACTGAGCCAAGCGTGTCGTCGATTATGGGAGTTGTTCATGATTGATATTAACTTCTATGCTCCTCCTCCCCTATGTAAATAAGGAATTTTCCCCATATTCCGTTTCGTTGGAACCGAATTGTGAATTGTTGTAACGTTAAATTGAATTCCTCTTTTGTAAGTACAGAATATGGAATTTACTCAGTAGCTCGACTTTATTATATTTGACTAGCATTGCCCGCGGCTCCGCCCGCGTTCAGATGACCAAAACTACTCTTACATTGCAGTTTTTGTATTTTTTCTCAGAAGTGAGACATTTTCCCGCGGTAAAAAGTATACTATATGTTGACTCGGAGAACCAGCTATCACCATACCAAGTTTCATAAAAATCCCTCCAGTGGTTTTTCTGTGATGCGGTAACAGACAGACAGACACAAATTCTAAAAACTATAGTTTCGGCCTCTGTATCGATAATAATGTTTATTTAAATAAGATTTTCAAAAAAATGTTTAATGTACAGATTCGGCTTAGTTACATTTTTATTATATATATAGATAGTGGATAGAGCTCTCGACAGTGAAAGTACTATAAGATTTTAGTATGGATTCAAAGGTCGCGGTTACATATTAATAACTTAATAGATAATATTATTTAATAAATAAGATAAAAATGAACTAGGTATTTCTGCTACAATGTTTACAACTTATTTCTGTATTATAATGTCTTTTCAACGTAATTGTTGACATAATAGAAAGATAATAGAGTTCTTTTTCAAAAATCCTAGAAGATGAGAGATATCAGCTGCATTACCATATCAAATTTTTATTTTTTATTATTCTATATAAATTACTGTAAATTGTACTTGTATTTGCAGATTCTGTTATATAACCATTAACTATTTAACCATTTATTCACGCACATATAGACTTTATTACAAAAAATTACAGTATTTCAAATGAATATCTTTTATTTGTAAATCTATGTAGTAATAGTGTTGCTTAATATGTATTTTGATTGTTTAGATTATAGTAAACTAAATTAAAATTATATATTATTCTCTTTAACTTTCCGCGTTCCATAATTATAAAGGTTATGATAGGTATTTTACTATATTTTATACTAGTCTAGTTCCTAGGTGATACTCTTTTTACGCGATTGAAATGAAATCCATGGCACTGTCCGGCAATAATGTCTCCATGCAAAAAATATGTACAACGTTTGTTCCTACCGTTATGTATATATGTACTTACAACCGTTACGCACAAACTAATACACTATTTCATTTATAATTATTAATGATTTTATATATATGTTAATGTCCCAAAATATAAAAAATAATATATGTCATTTAATTTATAATAAGCTAATATCGGTGCAAGACTAATTTTTGTTATATAATAACATGTTTAATTATTTTTTTGGAAACTTACATGAGAAAACATGGAGAAATAGAATCCACTGCCGTCCTCTGCCGGCCTCATCGCCGGTGTCTTATCCATTTTTATCTTTCCGCACACCAATTCTGAAAATAATCAAATATCCATTGAAATCTGTTCGTACGTTCATTCGCCGTAATTATATGTAATAATTACTCGTACATTTTAACTAAGAGCACATATTCAAATCATTTTTAATTTTATTCTTAGGTTTGGAAGTTTTCTAAATATTTTTTACGAAGAGAAAGATGTTAGATGATCAACTCAATGTGACATCACGCAACCTACTTATGAAATCACCAGAGATTCCGTTAAAACCTGACCCAGTGAAACGAGGATGTGTTGTTAATTATTTTATTATTTTAGGTTTAACTCAAAAATGAGAATAACATAAAAAACGCTTTGTTTAATATTTTAAATAACAACTATTATAAATACAAGTTTGTATGTAAGTGTGTATGATGGCGTTAAACGTATGTAAAATACTTTTACGTGAAATGCACACAGATATACAACCGAACAGTCATACAAACAAAAATTTAAATAACTATTATTTTAGAATCTATATTCTGTACAAAATACATACCTAGCTAGCGGTTATTGTTTTAAAAAATATTTTATGTACAGCTTTCTCTTTTTTACTATTTTATTATATGTTAGGTACATATATATACAGATAGAGAAAAATCGACGGATTTGTATCAAGTCATAAAAACTACCTAGGCACGCCCTAAAGCGAAACGAGTATAAGTCACCAGAGTGCCTTTTTTTTACATACAGATGAACAAACAAGATTTACCAAAAGCCCATGTTGGGTTCATTACCCTCTCGTAAAAGTTGTTACAAAAACTACTTTCAAGATAAAAAAAAGTTTTTTTTAAACTTATAATTTGAAGCGTTTCGTTCACAGTATAAGACCGTAATAAGAAATGATTCTATTAGAGAACTGTCACAGCTGTAGAGACTTTTGCTTTTTATCTTGCAATAATAAAAGCTCGAGAGAACTTGGTCCGAAATTTTCGTTAAAGTTAAAAATACAAGATATTTTTATACGTTATATAATATTTATACTATAACTATTTGTTTAGTCTTAATTTACAAGTAAAATTAAATGGAAGTCTTTATAGGATAAAAATTTTTTTATAGACAGTGATACAGTGTTATATCACCAAGTGTATGGCGTGTGGCGTTATTAATGGCGTGTGCTTTAAAAATAGTGAAAAATTCAAATACTGAAATGAATATCGGATAATTTGGTGCCTATATTTACTTCAAGACTAAAAACATACTATTTGTTAAAATAATCAAGCACGTTGAGTAAATTCAACTATCGTACTATATACCTAGTACCGCACCAGTCACGAGATGACCCACAGAAAGTAATTCTAGAATTGCATCATATTTTACATATCATGCATATACAGAAGATATTTTAAGCATTATAAATTCTAATACCTATATGGTAATTGATGAAAATATCAGAGGTGCGAGATCCGGGATTTGAACCAGTTTCACTTAGTTTCCAAAGCAAGCGAGTTACCACTGGCCAATCATTATCTACGCACTTCCCACGGACTGATAATTTAAATGCCGAAGTTTGTACGTGTGTATGTATGTTTATTTGTTACTCCTGCACGCTGAAGCACATATACACAGAATATATAGTATGTACACTATTTGAAATAACACATAGTGTACTATTAGACACCTAGGGACGGACCCGAATGAAACGAGTTTGCTAGTTATTAATATATATACTTACTTAGTCCAGCATCGTCACCCGAACAATTCAAAAAAATACCATCAAAGAAGAGATCTTTAGCTTTCACCCTTAGAAAGGGGTCAGTTAGGTTGGAGAAGAATTTAACAAGAGCTTTATTTATCAAAGGGGTTGCAGATGGCATCATATCCTGCACTGATAATATAGCTGCCTGGAAGGAAAAACATTAAAAATTAATTTTTGTTTATGCTATTATTTGTAATATTAAATTACTTTTATACTAAAAAGCTTCAGACTTTAAAACACCTCAAAAATTAATTACTGCACCCTTAATTTGGAATTTTCCTATAATACTTTCTTAGATTTACGCGAATATTTGACATTTTAAATAAATCTATCTTTTCGGATTTTGTCGCGGATTTATTTGTATTTTTGTTTCCCGACGTTTCGAATGCTTTACAGCATCCATGGACTATGGATGGATCCATGGATTAGAACCCGGGTCAAAGAACACATAGCTGATGTGAAGCACCGTCGCAATACAACATCTGCTGTCTGCAAACACAGTCAGGACCGCCCAAGCCATTATATTCGCTTCGATAGGCCTCAAATCCTGGCGAAAGAAAACCGATATCGCCCTAGAATGATTCGAGAAGCCATAGAAATTAAAAAACATCCTAATTTCAATAGGGAAGATGGCTGGGTACTACCATCGTCATGGGATCCTGTTATTAATATAATAAAATCTAATAATAAATCTAAACATAACAGACAGGTAGATGTAGTAAGTTCTTACTGTGTAGATCAAAATGATAGCATTTCTGATTAATAATATTTTTTCACTTTTTCATTTGTAAATGTATGAAGTAATGTGTTGCTTAATAATTTGTTTTTTAAATAATAGCAAATTTAAATTAAAATTATTATTTTTAATTAATCTTAACTTTTTCAAATTACACATAGATCAATTGTGGCTTAAATAATTAATACTATATTTTATTTTTTTTTTCTTATGGTTATAAATATAATAATGGCAACACTAAATATAGATTGCTAATTAATATTTTTAAAATTGTAATAATTATAAAAATAATAGCAAAAATTAAATAAATAATTTTCCATATTCAATTATAATTAAAATTATAAAAATATTTAAAGTTAAAATATTGTAATGTAATTGGTGCAATTTTCATTTTGTTAATTGTGGGTAGGCTGTCTGTAACAACTATATCTTTAAGACATGTAACACCTCAGTTTCTCCCGTGACCATGGATGCTGTAAAGCATTCGAAACGTCGGGAAACAAAAATACAAATAAATCCGCGACAAAATCCGAAAAGATAGTTTTATTTAAAATGGAATTTTCTTTTTAAAAATCAAAGCCTATTTAAAATATTTGAAAACATAATTAAAATCGATTAAATATATGGAATAAAACATATACCCGAATTGAGTATCTCATCCTATTTTGATGTTAGTTAAGAAATAATGTTCATCGATTATATGAACAAACTTAGGTTTACTTATACTCGTAAAGGAAAAGAGTAAGAGAATAAAAAGTCATGATAAATGCTCTGGAAGCTTAATGAAGATGACAATCTATAATAGTAGCGTCCATAGAAAACTGCGTATGTACATACTATATACGATGTAGGTACATCTATATCCATACTAATATCATAAATGTGAATGTGTGTTTATTTGTTTGTTTGTTTGTCTGTCCTTCTTTCACGTCGAAACGGATTGATGGATTGGCGTTATTTTTTGTGTGGAGATAGTTGGAGAGCTCTAGAGTAACTTTTTACCACGGGAGATTATCTTATTCCCACGAGAAAATATAATACAACCCAAAAAGTTATTTATGATCAGAATTACTTTAAACTTGGTATGATTGTTCTTCAATACAATTAAATGAACACGTGTTTTAGCATTTTTCGAAATTCATCCCATGAGAGGGAAAATAGGGGATGAGTTTTAGCGCGAGTGAAACCGCGGGTTCTGCTAGTATAATAAATAAAATTTACTCTATATATACAAATAGAGCTATACGTTGTTATTTGTAAAAAATAAAATACTTAAATATCGAGTTATGTAACTGACGGTCACATTCACATAAATCTTTTATTTATTAATAACTAATAAGATATTATAATCTTACCTTTGGTGTCACTTCAGATATTTTTCTCAGAAGGATCATTTTATTTTTTATAAAAATTAAGTTAATGTGAGATTACACACGTGCAACAACGGACTTGTGAAACTCAACGATTTATGTATTTAAAACTTCATAATAAACAAATAATAAATATGTTGGAACATTAACACACAACACCATCTTGTTCCATGGTAAGCTACGAGGCCTGTGTTATGGATACCAGATAGTCAATATTTAGGATACCTTTTATTACAAGAAAATCTTTCATTTCCACGGGAACGCACAATTACTGGTTCTATCGAGTTGTTGTTAGAAACTTACCTACATGTCTAACGCTGGCTAAACGGATTACTTTTAACTTATAAACTAAAAAAATTCAAGTCTTAATAAAACATACAGAAAAATCTACATTATTATATGTCTTTTTGCGATAACTATTCATATCTATTTAAAACGTTTACGAGGGTAAGTCACCATTACTAAGTAAATGTATGTTTTAAATTATAATATTACTAGCGACTCACTCTCGCTTCGCTCGGGTTCGTCCCTAGCTTGCTACCCAATACACACTTTCATCCCTATTTTCACCTCCTTAAGTGATTTCCGGGATAAAAAGTATCCTATGTCCTTCCCAGGGTGTCAAATTATCTTTTTACCAAAATTCATCTAAATCGGTTCAGTAGATCCTGATTTTACCCTCTACAACCTCACAAACTCACAAGCTATACCTCTTTATAATATTAGTATAGATGATGAATAGATGATGACATACTCAGTTAAGTTACAATAGAAAAATGTAATTTAAAAACAAAATAAGGTACAATTTGAAATTATGATTAAGCTTGATTGTGAATACATTAGACCAAGCAAATTATGTATTAACACTATAAATTATACCGAATAACATTAATAATAATATATTATGTTTACATATTTAGTATTTATATCTGTCTGCCTCTAGTTATTTGCAAAGCTTTGAGACTTTTAACTTCAAAAATAGTAAAACGTATACGGTAGAGGCGGTGGTAGTCTAGTGGTATCTAGTGGTAACGCGCTCGTTCGGGACACCGAGTGAAGCGGGTTCAAATCCTGGGTTTCGCAAGTCTGATATTTTCATGTGCGAATCATTTGTTGGAAATGATTACCACTTTTCGGCGTTATACGTTTTATGCTTCGGTGAAGGAAAACATCGTGAGGAAACCTGCATGTCTTGGAGAACTTTGTACATATAAACTTTCAGGAAGAAATTATCTTATGTGAAAACTATATTAAAACCCGCTGCGTTAGCGACTTTGTGTTAGGCTAATTCAAGAAAACTAATAATTTGAATAACTATATAGTTAAAAAATTATACATTTTTTTTAAATTAAATTAGACTAAGAGCGCTGTCTAGAGTCCAGATTCTAAAATTCTTGGTTGGAAGTTAAACATTAGAAATATCAAAATCACAGTAATTTAGAATTGAGACTGATTAAATAATGCTGTTACAAACACTATCTAATATAAGTTATTGTATAGAAAATAAAATTTTATGCCAGAATTCTTAAAGAAAAATGAGCAAAGTAAAGATAGGTTTTTCTTAGTGAATATTATGTTTCCATCTAACGCCCAAAACAAATACAAAAATAGCACCTTTGAAATTATATTTATTTTGGGCATTGATTCAAAACCTGTTCACTTAAGATTAAGGATGTTTATTCTTTTACGTGTATTGTACTGTATTTTATATGTATTGTTATTGTATAACTAGTGTGTGTGTGTTTAATCAAATAAGGTCTGAATTATAAATTGAATTGAATGACATTGAATTCTTATTAAATTTAAAACTTAATTTTAAAATCGGAAAATGTGAAAGTTTCTTTAAATAAATTATATTATTTATTGCCTCATAATTTTCATTTTTGCAAAAATTTTGGGTAACTCTTACCGTTTTCAACTATTTTGATAAATATGTATGGAATTGCATCGGTTCTTATTCGAGGACTACCAATACTTTCCAAATATTTGTATTGATAGTTTTTACCTTATATCATAAATTCAGTTTATTAATTTTGTAACTGAATACTATTGTTTATTTAATTTAACTTGTATTGTTCGGACATAATTATTTTATCAAATAAAAAAAATGTTTCAATTTTTTATTGATAACAATAAAAGTTTATCAATAGCTATTAATAAAAACAAAATCAATTGATAACCAAAAGAAAAAAAAACTGTTTTGTTTTTGCCTATTTACCTACTATATAAATATCTTGTGTCACGATGTTTGTGGTCGCACTTCTCCGAAACGGCTCGACCGATTTTAATGATTTTTTTGTATATTTGCTTGGTATGAGAATAGGTCGTAAAGTATTTTTCACCCTCCTACCCCTACCCCCCATTTTTTAATCGCGATTTTAGTAAATTTTTTGAATGAACATTTAGATTATTACATTTAGATATCCAAATAATTTAATATTATATATAGTTTTTTTGTAGATTGAACGCGGGTGAAACAGCATGTCCAGCTAGTGTACATATAAATATTGTGCTGGATATATTCCCAACACATTTATAGTTCTTACTTTGCACCCAATTAGTGTAATAATTGTAAACACACAATTATTGTATACTTTAACTTTTATTGCAAGGAATTGCAATAAACATGTATGATCAGAATTAATAAAATCCATAACATGGATAAATGATCCAAGTCACTTGTTATTTAATAAGTAATAACTAACTGACCTCGGCAGGTCGGGTTGACCTAGACGCCTCAGATTGCAAAATTACTTAATATATAGAAACCTTTGTAGCAATATGTCTCTATATACATAATAGTTTCTTGACCTGTAAGTCTTGTCTAACTTGATCATTAGGGACAGTCCAAGTATGGTCTATTACAATCAAACAAATATTTAAGATAATATATAAGCAAATATAGAAGATATGTAAGTATTAAGACAAATATACATGCCTGAAAGTGATAGTTTGAGACTCGTGTCCATTAATATTTAATTGAATTGAATTATATCAATTTTAACCGTCTACAAATAGGACTAAATATTTCAAATAAAATATTAAGGTAAGTATAATTGTAATATTTTGTATGGTAGATGAAGAAACAACTTGAGAGCTCATGGTCTTTGATTATATATTATGAGAAAAGTAAATAAATGCAATGAAATAAGAATAAACTGAATTAATTATTATTATTTAATGGGATTATAATAACATCCATTATTTACATTTACACTATAAATAAATAAAACTTGCACATAATCTATCGAAAATGAAAATATTACCTACGACCTTTAAGCCTTTTTATCAAAGTATCTCGTAAACGGAAATGCAGACGGAAACAAGTTGTAATAAAAATGCTAATAGCTTCACATGAACAAAGAAAGACAGTTTACTGTATGAGGAAGGTATTGAAAATGAAGAGAAAATAAAAACCAACTTTCGTTTTTCATAAAGAGAAGTACAGTATTTATTCAATCCTTTTATAACGTCCCACTATTGGGCGTGGGCTTCCTCTCAATGGAAGGGGGATCAGGCTATATATAGTTCATCACGCTAGAGAGGTGTGGGGTGGCGGCTTCACATGTTTTTGAAATCTCAGGTAGGTTTCTTAGCGATGTTTAGCTTCACCGTAATGCAAACGTTATCACGTTGAAAATGATCGACACATGAGAATATTAGAAGTACAAGCAGCGCTGGATTTACACTAGGGGCACTCGGGGCTAATGCCCAGGGCGGGAAAAATCTGGAGGGCGGGAAAAATTTTCTCTTCGCGTTATCGAAAGGCTTTTTTTATTTTCCGAAAAATAATGAATATAAATTTTTTACGAGTACATTTTTCGAAAAATTTAAACCATTTAAGTATAAATTATTTCTTTGCATTTTTCAAAAAAATAAGAATAAAAAAAAAAAAAATTTCAACATTTTGTTGAAAATTTCGATAATAGGGCGGCATTTTTTTACTATGCCCAGGGGCAGCGCTAAGGTTAAATCTGGCACTGGGTACGAGGCTCAGAATTTGAACCCGCTTTACTTAGTTTTCCAAGCGAGCGCGTGACCACTGGGCTACTTGCCTAACCACAGAAGGTATAATAGTAATTATTTGCTTGGTAATAATAAATTGATCAATACAATATTCCCTACTTGTTGATGCCAGCAACTCATAGGTGGTCCGGATGAAAAATTCATTGTTGCGGATGAAAAGATTTTTTTCTATGTCACAGTCACACCATCACTACTTTAATGACATTAATTCCCACGGCATTGTATTTATGCATACTTTTGTCGGTTACAGAGCTTCTAAATTACATTATTTGTGTAATTTAAAAATATTTAGTATTTTTTTCTTTTTTAATTATTATCATTTATGATGTAATTATGACGTGAGTTTTGGTTTTAGTAATAATTTTCAAAATAAGGCAGTGGTAGCACAGTGGTAACGCGCTCGCTTGGGAAACCGAGTGTAGCGAGTTCAAATCCCGGGTCTCGCAGCTCTGATATTTTCATGTGCGAATCATTTCCTACCTGATTACCACTTGTCTTAGCGGTGAAGGAAAACATCGTGAGGAAACCTGCATGTCTGAGAGAACCTAGCGAGTTTTCAAAAGACGTGTGAAGTCCGCCAATCCGCACTTGGCCAGCGTGGTGGACTATGGCCTGATTCCCCTCGTACTGTAGGGAGGCCCGTGCCCAGCAGTGGGACGTTAAAAAAAGGGCTGAATACAATAATTTGCAAAATCAGTCAAGTGCGAGTCGAATGCGCACACGAAGGTTTCCGTACCATTACATGTAGTTTATATTTATATGATTTTTACTCTATGTATGTAATAAATTAACTTTGATGATCGATTACGAACATAAAAAATATGTTTCTTGTATTTTTAATTCTTTTATAATTTGTTGTTATAGCGGCAATAGAAATACATACTCTGTGAAAATTTTTACTCTCTATAGGCAGAGAGTATAAATTGAGCAAGAGGCTGTATCTCATGAACCGTACTCGTAATAGGTTACGGTCATGAGATACAGCCCTCTGACAGACGGATGGATGGACAGAGGAGGCTTAGTAATATGGTTCCGTGCCAATTAGACTTATTAGAAGCACTTTTGAATCGTCAATTTAATTTAAACGTCAGTTTTGTCAGTCCGTGAGGAAGGTACCACCGGCTCGGAAAGCAATTCCGCTGAGAAGAACCGGCGAGAAACTCAACAGTGGCTCTTTTAAATATAGAGGTTACATTTGTTTATTTTATTAACATAACAATATAAATAGCCCGGATATGAGTCAATATTTCTCAATTCCACACATTTCATCAATAAGAAATATACCTTATCTTATAACACAATATTAGATTATGAAAGTTCTTACCAGATATGAGTAATTTATGACAGTAATATGATCGTCTTGTTTGAGGCTTCCTGACTCTTCTTGGTCAAAATAAAACGTCTTCTTTAACATATATTTAATAGTGTCGTTTGGACCATATTCGAGTATTTTTTTTACTCGATATTCTCTGAAAAAAATGCATGATTCGTTTATAGATTTGATTAAAGTGGAAATCGATGGGGATAAAATGTACTCAACCTTAAACTAAGTTAAAACGGTGCAAACAATATATTTTTTAATAACGATACTAATGTGAACATCAATATTTGCTTGTTTGTTTATTTTGTAATTTGACTAAAGTTTCAATTAATACACGAATAGCTTAGATCATAGCAGTTAATATTTTAAATGAATAGATAGACTACTTTTAATCGACATATCTACTACGCGAGAGGAGCCACGGTGGGAAAAATTCTCTATATATCTAATAAAAATTAAAGTTGTTAAACGCATCATCAATGGAGAACTGTCAGCTGGACCGTTACGATTTTTAAAGGTTTTTAAAAAATTGAATAAGGTTATTAGTAAGGATATTGGAAAGTTGCCTGGATAATTAGAAAATGCTTTCTTTTGCAGAATTTATGTGTGACCTCAAAGATCATAAGATTTGTTAAAATTGAGATAGGGATAGGGAGAGATAAAGATTGAGATAGTATATTGAGAGCATTTTCTATTCGGTCAGATAGTTTGTGTAAATTGTCTATAAATACTGTTATTTTTTTAAGATATTATTTTTTTTTCGGTTCCAGGTTAGGACTATATAGCTAGCTAGAGTAATGTGTTATATATTGTAGGTTCAGTCATATTTGTTGATATCAGTGTGAATGTTTCTTTTTTTAAACGATTAATATTTAATCTCCATTGTGTCTTCTCTAATTTACACGAGATTAGCGAGAACAATGAAACTAAATTTTCAACTTTATCCAAGTGGCACGTCCAAAAGCCACAGAACAACGAATTGAATTGAATTATATCATCTGTGGTATTACTTACTTGTAAACATACGGGCCTACTTCTTTCACTATAGGTTTGCCTCCTTCATTTACCTCATCTGTGTTGGTCACATTGAACACGTATATTTTGAAGGTGAGTGGTATTGGCATCTCGCGCCATTTGTCAAACATCTTTGAAGTATTTGTGAGCTGTATATTCTGAAAAAAAAAATTGCATGTTTTATAAATCGTTACTATGAACAATTACTGTTTATCCCAATATTGTATTGATATGCACAATAAGTGTAATATTATTTTTATAACATAACTTTAGCATAGTTATCAATATATGGAGCTACCTAAGAACATTGTATCAACAAAAATTCACCTTATCCATGCGGTTTCAACGTAGCTTATTTTATATAACTATACCTCGTTAAATGTATTCAGGACATGCAATGAAATAACAATGGTTTAATCATGGTAAGATTAAATATGCACAGCCGCTCTTAATGTTTAATATGAATTCGAAAAGAAAACAGAAAATTGTCATACAATGTATTGCGCTAATGTATTTATTTATTTATATGGATCTCCAATAGTATACAAATTTTTTACATTTACAATATAGCTAACTTAATCTAATTCATATTTTTATGTATTTCTAATTATAGGAGAACACATCCACACATTTATATGCACTGTACTAATACACTAATATAACAATAGATTAATATCAATTTTGAACATTAATTTAGCTTAGACGGAGCTACGAGTATCTAACAACATATTTGAATTACTAAGTATTTTTCTATATGTGAAAAGATCCTATAGGTATATTATATAGACCTACGTATATATTATAGAGATCAATAACACGTATAAGATTCTAATCATGGGGGCTATGTTATAGGATAAGAAAATTAAAAAGTTCAAATTATACATATGACATACTAATAATTACTTCTGACGAAGAATACATTAATATGTGTACATGTTCAAATTTTTTAAATGCATAGCTTAAGCCCTAATTGCACTAAAACTAGGTATTCGTTTTACCATATTTCATTCAAAAATCGACTAAGCTTAAAATTTAAAAAATAACATGGAATATTCCTTACATGAACAACAAAAATATAATACTTTCTTAGATTTACGCGAATATCTGACATTTTAAATAAAACTATCTTTTCGGATTATTTCGCGGATTTATTTTGATTTTTTGGTTTCCGACGTTTCGAATGTTTATCAGCATTCATGGTCACGGGAGAGACTCCTATGTCTCCGAGTGTATCCGAAAAGATAATTTTATTTAAAACAAAAATGTAATAAAATCTCCACATTATTTTTTAATTTGCAGCATGTAGGAATTCATCCTCCATGTGAATCCACTTCACACTTTACCTATTTTTTAATCTTAATTATGTAATATATTTTAAATTTATTTTTTTAAGGACAGTAATGTTCATAATTTACATATATTAATTATAGAAAAAAAATAGAATTTATTCTAACACAAAAAAATATATATATATATAAACGTGTATGAAATATCTGCTCATAAGCAATTATAACGTGTAAAAAAACGTATTTTCTGTGAGTTAAGATTGTAAAAGTTCCGATTCAGTAATTTAGTGGAGATAACGTACATCAAATGATATTTAAAATCATATCTACGTGAATCTTTAGTTTTACTGTAATAAATAGGTTGTAATATATATACCTATGTAAACGAAAATCATATAATAAAATTTCAACAGAATCGAATCTGTACATTAAATATTGTTTGGAAAATCTTATTGAAATAGTCATTATTACTGATACAGATGCCGAATCTATAGTTTTTAGAATGTCTATTTAAGAACACATCACGAGAAAACCACTGGACAGCTTTTGATTAAATTTTGGTATGATAATAGCTAGTTATCCGTGTCAACATACACAACAGTATTTCACACCGGGACAGCTTCTTGTTTTATATAAAGCTGAAGTCCGGTCGTGTGTGGAATACTATAGTCACATATGGGCTGGTGCTGCGAAATGCCATCTGTCAGCCTTGGACTCAATTGAGAGGCGTGCTCACAGACTTATTGGTGACCCTACGCTGGTAAAAGCTAACTTACAAAGCCTCGATCACCGACGTAGGGTTGCCAGCATTTGTGTATTCTATAGGTTACATTTCGGAGAGTGTGCGCAGAACGACTTAATTCCTCCATCCTCTTTCCACCATCGGACAACCCGACGAACGGCTGGTCTCCATCCTTATATCGTGGACATTCCAACCGTCAGGACGAAGCATTTCGCAACGTCATTCATTATACGTGCGGCTAAGGATTGGAACAACCTGCCGGCGTCGGTGTTTCTGTCTTCAAGGCAAGAGTGAATAGGTGGCTACTGAATTAGTGCGACTTACCATCTACAACAGCGTTACCACTTACCATCAGGTGGAACGTAGTCAAGCACTAATTCAGAATACTATAAAAATAAAACAACAACTAGGGACGAACCCGAGTGGAGCGAGGATGAGTCGCTAGTAACACTAAAAAGTTTACTTTTTACTAATATATCGTTATTATCAGAGTATACCAGTTTTAATGTGTTTTTTAAAACTAGCGTTGTTAAAAATATTTGCAATATTATATTGTATAATTTACAACTAAAATTATAAAGAATTGATGTGGTTTTTCCTTGACTTCCAAAAGGAGAAGGTTCTATGTTCGTCTGTATGTATTGTTTTAGCGTACGTAGCGGGATTTCAACCTGTTGCAAAAAATATCGAGGGATGAATTACTAATTTATAACTATTACCTACTAATATTATAACTTCAAAAGGAACTCTGTCTGTTATCTTCTTTCCCTTAAAGTGCTAAACAGGTTTCAATGAAATTTTGCTAGAACATTTGCAATATTGGTATGGTATGCTTATCATAGACAAAAATTAGATAATAATCTGACGTAATACGTTTTATTTGCTAGATATTTGTCATCCAATCACACAAAATAGTAAATCGTTTAACAAAAATAATGAATTGTAAACAAAAGAAGTGTACTTGAAAATTGTATGTTAAACAAACACAGATGTTTTATCGTTCGTATACTAATTGTATTGTATTCTATATATATAAATATAGATTTTAACTATCTAAAAACGGAATTTCAGGTACGGCTACCAATCTACGACTACATTATACATATCATTATAGTCATCTGTGCAGGAGTTAATAATATTATTATCCGGAACAAACAGACAGACAGACAAAAATAAAAAAATGTATTTTTCTTATATATATATATAAATATATATAATAAAATTCTAACTAAGTCGAATCTGTACATTAAACTTTTTTTGGAAAATCTTATTGAAATAAACATTATTAGCGATACAGAGGCCGAATCTGCAGTTTTCAGAATTTTTGTCTGTCTGTCTGTCTGTCTGTCTATCTGTTACCGCATCACAGAAAAACCACTGGAGGTATTTTGATGAAATTTGGTATGGTGATAGCTGGTTATCCGGGTCAACATATAGGATACTTTTTACCGCGGGAAAATATCTCATTTCAGAGAAAAAATACAAAAACTGTAATGTAAGATTATACTTATATGTAAAACTTAAGAATTTGGTTTTTTGTCATGTGAACGCGGGCGGAGCCGCGGGCAATACTAGTACTTTATAATTTGGGAAAAAGTAAGATAGAAATTGTCAGATAAACATATTTTTGTACTTATAACATTAGATATTATCACTAATCTTAACTTTTTGTATGATTAGCTTGAACACGTTAACAATAGAGCTATCCGATGTATTATGCATAAATGCGAGAAGCTGTCTGGCCTTTAATACAATAATTTAGGCCAATTGGTTTCAAGGTATGCTTCAGAGTATCATTACAGAAATATATAGCCTCTTAGTTGGAACCATTATATTATGTGGTTGGTAGATGATCGAGGTGTAAATAGATGGAAATTTAATTTTAATTTTTTTAGCCATTTATTGCCAGTTCCTTTGTTTAAGCTTGCGTTATCCGAGAATAGCTGTACGAATTTCAATAATAATTTTATTTTATTATACACTATACAAGTATGATAAGTGAAACGTGATAGGTGAAAAATAAGTATGAATTGAAGAAAAGTTTATTAAATACTAGCAGTACCTATCCCATATAAACAATAGTTTTACTATAATGTATGGAAGTCTGACCGATTTGTTGACATTTATGATTACTGCTCCGCTCCCTTGGGTAGCAGCATGATGATATATAACCTAAAGGCTTTCTCAATAAACAGGCTATCTAATGCAAAAAAATAATTTTCCAAATCGGATCGGTTGCTGAGATCAGCGCGTTCAAACAAACAAACTCAGTTTCTTTATAATATTAGTATAGATTTGAATAGATCTAAAGAATAAACTTAGTTTAGTAGTTGTTATATAATATTAAGTTTTAGATAGCTTATACAACACATTTGTATGTATTTCTAAGATCGAGTACTTTGGTACAATTTATTGTTTGCGGGTCATAACAAGTAGTCGTTAATTTTAGTAGCGGGAGTAATTTCATGAGTCTAAGCCCCATATATTTAATTAAACTTACTCGCTTTATCTTGTAAGATTTCATTAAAGGCTAACAAAAATAAATTTCTCAAGATGGATATAAACTTTTTTTGGAATTTTATTGATAACTTTTATATATACATTTACTATGTGCCCATGGCTCAGTTTGTAGTGACCCTACTTGCTGTGCCAGCGGTTGTGAGTTCGAGTCCCGCTGGGGGCATTCATTTGTGTGATGAGCACGAATGTTTGTACTCCAGTCATTTCATGTATCAACTATATGGTATCCATCTTAAACCTCATATTTTAAAGGTGAAAATGAACATTTTTGTCTATTTCTGTCTTTATAATATTGTAGGTGGATAGGTACTGCCTGTAACAATTATATAATAACTATTGAGAGTCTAAAACCGTAGTATCTCCCACGACCATATTTTCTATAAAGCATTTTGAAACGTTAGGAACCAAAACATAATCGAAAAACGCGACAAAATCTGAAAAGATAGTTTCATTTAGAGTCAATATGTATGAATAGTAATTTCTTGATTTTCGTTATTGCAACATTCAATGTTTGTTCAAGAGTTTCTTCATCATCTTCCTTAATTAGTTTATTTAAATAGTGACGTAGTTCTTTTTGTACATTTAGATTTTTGATAGCTGGTACTGTTTA